TTATTTGAATATAGGTTCTCAAAGTAGTCTCTGATGATTTCCTGGACTTCCATGTGTTGTTATCTCCCCTTTTGCATTCCTGATTCTACTAATTTGGGTTTTTTCTCTCCTCATTTTAGTCAGGTTTGCCAGGGGTCTATCGATCTTCTTTATTTTTTCAAAGAACCAACTTTTTGTTTCATTAATTCTTTGTATGGTTTTTTTGGTTTCTATTTGTTGATTTCAGCTCTTATTTTTATTATTTCCTTCTATTTGTTTTGGGATTTGCTTGTTCTTGTTTTTCTAGGAGTTTGAGATGTATCATTAGGTCATTGATTTGGGATCTTTCAGTCTTTTTAATATATGCACTCATGGCTATAAACTTTCCTCTCAGGACTGCCTTGCTGTGTCCCATAGGTTCGGTAGTTTGTGTTTTCATTTTCATTGACTTCCAGGAACTTTTTAATTTCCTCTTTTATTTCATATGATCCATTGTTCATTAAGTAATGAGTTATTAGTTTCCAGCTGTTTGCATGTTTTTTGTCTTTACTTTTGTTGTTGAGTTCTAGTTTTATTGCATTGTGATCAGATATAGCATGGTATTATTTCTATTTTCTTATATTTGCTGAGGCTTGCTTTGTGCCCTAGGATATGATCTATTTTGGAGAAGGTTCCATGGGCTGCTGAGAAGAATGTATATTGTGTAGAAGTTGGATGAAATGTTCTGTAGACATCAACTAGGTCCATTTGATCTATTGTATATATTTTAGATCTTGGATTTCTTTATTGATTTTTTGTTTGGATGACCTATCTATTGATGATAATGGGTGTTAAAGTCTCCCACAACCACTGTGTTGGAGTTAATATATGCTTTTAGGTCTTCAGGGTATGTTTGATGAAATTGGGTGTTGACATTGGGTGCTATAGGTTGATAATTATTATTTCCTTTTGGTCTATTTCCCCTTTTATTAGTATGGAATGTCCTTCTTTATCTGTTTGATCAATGTAGGTTTGAAGTCTACTTTGTCAGAGATAAGTATTGCTACTCCTGCCTTTTTGGGGCCATTGGCTTGGTAAATCTTCTTCCAGCCTTTCATCCTAAGCCTATGCTTATTTCTGTCGGTGAGATGGGTCTCCTGTAAGCAACAAATTGTTGGATCTTCCTTTTTAATCCATTTGTCAAAGCGGTGCCTTTTGATGGGTGAATTAAGTCCGTTAACATTAAGTGTTAGTACTGATAGGTATGTGGTGATTCCTGTCATTTAGTTGTCTTAGTTGTTTGAAGGTTTGATTGTGTGTACCTAAGTTGAGGTTACTCTCTACTTCTTGCTTTTTCTTTTCCTGTGGTTTGGTGCTGCCTGCTTTTCATGGTTAAGTTGGGTTTCACTTTCTGTGTGCAGAATCCCTTGAAGAATCTTTTGTAGTGGTGGCTTTGTGGTCACATATTGTTTTAGTTTCTGCTTATCATGGAAGACTTTTATTGCTCCATCTATTTTGAATGATAGTTTTGCTGGGTAGAGTATCCTGGGGTTGAAGTTATTTTCATTCAGTGCCGGAAGATCTCACCCCATCTTTCTTGCTTTTAATGTTTCTGTTGAGAAGTCTGCTGTGATTTTGATGGGTTTACCTTTGTATGTTATTTGTTTTTTCTCTCTTACAGCCTTCAATATTCTTTCCCTAGTTTCTGAACTTGTTGTTTTAATGATGATATGTCGTGGGGTAGTTCTATTTTGATCTGGTCTGTTTGGTGTCCTGGAGGCCTCTTGCATCTGTATGGGAATATCTTTCTCTAGATTTGGGAAATTTTCTGTTATTATTTTGTTGAATATATTACGCATTCCCTTTGCTTGCACCTCTTCTCCTTCTTTGATGCCCATGATTCTCAAGTTTGGTCTTTTGATGGAGTCGGTGAGTTCTTGCATTTTCTTTTCACAGGTCTTGAGTTGTTTAATTAATAGTTCTTCAGTTTTTCCTTTAATTACCATTTCATCTTCAAGTTCTGAGATTCTGTCTTCTGTTTGTTCTATTCTGCTGGATTGGCCTTCCGTTTTGTTTTGCAGTTCTGTTTTGTTCTTTTTTCTGAGGTTTTCCATATCCTGGGTTCCTCTTTAATGTTGTCTATTTTTGTCCTGAGTTCATTTATCTTTTATTAATCATGTTTCTCTGTTTCACTTTGGTGTTTATACAGTGCTTCTATGGTTTCCTTTATTTCTTTTTTGCTTTTTCAATTCTCTATTTTTTTCTTGGAATTTCTTGAGTGTCTCCTGTACATTTTGGTTGACCCTATCCAGTATCATCTCTATAAAATTCTCATTGAGTACCTGTAGTATGTCTTCTTTTAAATTATTCTTGTGGGCTTCATTGGGTTCTTTGGCATAGTTTATCTTCATTTTGTTGGAGTCTGGATCTGAGTATCTGTTTTCTTCATTCCCCTCTGGTTCCTGTACTAATTTTTTGCTGTGGGGAAACTGGTTTCCCTGTTTTTTCTGTCTTCCCGTCATTGCCTTGGTGTTGTTACTGTCCCTGTACTGTGTGCAATTAAGTATTTTCTAGCTTGTAATAATAACAATGGTGATATTTAGAATGGAAGGGTGAGAGGAGATGGAAAGCAAGAAGTTAAAGAAAAGGGAAAAAAAATCAAGTACGAAAAAAACAAAAAAAGAAACAAACAAAAAAGTTTCAAAGATATAAACAGGAGAGACAGTGTACTAATCAACAGTAAGCTGAACAGGCATTAGAGAGACAGAGAGAGGATTGAAAATTAAAAAAAATAAAAAATAAATAAAATAAAGAATAAAAAATAAAAAAAAAAAAAACTCCAAGTTCAAATGCAATGAAGTTTCAGTCTTAATAATTTGTGTGTTGTCCTCAGCCTCCATCCTGGAGATGGTGCCTCAGATGTTTTCTGTAGTTGTCTCATCAAAGGGAACAAAAAGTAGAACAAAAACGCACAAACAAAAAAAAACCCCACAAAGTGTCCCAAGTTCAAATGCAATACAGTTTTAGTAAGTTTTTCTGCATGCAGGTGTAGTTCAGTTGTTTTCCCACCAAAGGTAGGGAGAGGAAAAAAAAAGAGTCTGGAGACAGTTCTGTGAATGGTATCTGTGGCTGTGGCTTGCCTGCTGCTGCTGTCAGCCTGCTGTGCTGGAGGTTTATTTATGCAGATCTCAGGGTGAGCTTAGCACTCACCTGGCCCAGGCTTTGTTTACTCAGAGTTCTCCTGCGGAGCCCTGCTACAGCTTTCCCCTTTCCAAGCACACTGGGGGAGGTGACACTGCACCCGCTTTCTCAGGCTGGCGTGTTTATTTACAGTTCATGTGGGAAGAGGGTCTTCCCCCCTCTCCTGTGGAGTTTTCCTCCCCCTGCCACTTTCACAAGCTTTCCTGCTCCTGGTTGCAGGGAGCACCCCCCGCTCCCACCAGAGCCTCTCTGGTCAGGCCCGACTTGTTTATTTCAGTTTGGGTAGGGATTCCCCCTCTCGCCTTTTCAGCGCTCAGGGCGCCCCACCCTCTTTGCTGCATGTCTTTATTGTTCTTATTGCTTATTACTCAGGTTCTCTTTTTTCCCCGGGTGGAGGTCAGTCTGTCCAGGGGGCTATGCTGATCTGGCCCAGGGTTGTCTGTGGAAGTACCACATACTGCTAATCTCACCTTGTCTGCATCTTCCCAAGCTGTCTGGGCGCGGGCGTCTGTCAGCCCGGGGGCCCTCCTGGTTTCTCCGTTTAACGTGAAGTGGAGATGCTCTGTGTAGGCTGGAGGTGTGGAGGGGTCAAAGTTTTGCCTCTTCTCAGTGGCCTTGCCTGCAAGGTGTGTCTCCAGTGTCTCTCCAAGATTTCACTTAGGGAGGCTCGCTTTCTGCTTCCTCCCTCTAGCTGCCATCTTGGAATTCTCCTGGCATTGGCTCTTTAAAGAGGAAGATGCAGGTAGCCTTGGTGGCTCACACCTGTAATCCTTCCTACTTTGGAGGCTGAGATCTGGAGGATCAGCCTTAAATAGTTTGTGAGACCCCATGTGGCCTAAGCAGTAGGGTGACTGCTTTGCTGAATTCAACCCCAGTCCTACCAAAAAAAAAAAAAAAAAAAAAAAAAGAAGAGAGAGAGAGAGAGAGAAAGAAAACAAAAACGGGGGGCTTTGCAGACCCATGCTTTTTGGGGAAATGCCTTGCTTTGATTTGCTTTGTTCTCCAGGTGTGGGGGGGGAAGAATGGCTGAGTTATCCATCCCCAAGCCCCAGGCTTGATCCTTCATGGCTCCCTTGCTGCGTGGGGGGGACTGGGAGGGGACAGTGGCTCCTTGCACCAGTGCTGGGCCAGGGCACTGGCCTGATGTCACCACAGGGCAGGACCCACACCTGCTGTGGCTTCTTCCTCCATCACCTTGATACTTCCACAAAGAACAAAGAGTCCTCCTAGAACAGACCCTGGCCCTGGCTCTAACCACGTGTGCATGGGGCAACAGAGCAACATTCACTCCTTCCCTTGAGACTCTGACGTGTGACAGATGCAGGTGTCAGGCACCCAGCAGCAGGCACTCTGCCACTTGGGCCGCTCCACCAGTCCTTTTAGCTCTGGTTATTTTGGAGATACGATTTCAGTTTTTTTTTTTGCTAAGACTGACCTGGACATGATCATGCCATTTTTTATTTTACAGGTGTGCACCACCACGCCCAGCTTTCTTCCTTTGAGATGGAGTCTCACTGACTTTTTTGCCTGGAATTGTGATCTTCCTGATCTCAGCCTTCTGCGTAGCTTGAAACAACAGGCAGGTGTGAACCACCATGCCCAGCTATTGGTTTGGATGGGGTCTCAGAAACATTTTGCCTGGATGGCCTCAAGCTGAAATCCTCTTGATCTCAGGCTCCCAGCTGGGATTACAGGTGTGACTCTCTTCTCCTTCCCTCTGTGATCTCTGCGATCTTCCCCTCTGTGGTGGGGACAGATCTCTGAGGACATGGTGGGGACATGTGGTCTGGGGGAGCCAGTGGGCAGCAGGGCCCAGGAGCTGGGAGTCTGCCTCAAACAGCTCACAGTACCTTAGCTTGCTGGTTGGTGCCCGCCGCCCTTGGGTGCAGGGGGAGGTCGAACGTCTCAGTCTGCTGCTTAGCAAAGTTCACAAACACCTGGGGGCAAAAGAAGAGAGGCGAGGGTAAGTGGGTGTATCCAGAAAGATGCTCTGTGCTCCCCACAGTGGACCTCCAGTCTTGGGGGCTCCTGTGCTGCCCAGGGCAAGCCAGCTTCCCTTGGGAGCCCCCTCAACAGTGTCCGGGACAGGATTGGCTGTCAGACCCTTCAGCTGGGCCACCTGGTTCCCTCAGGAGGAGTCAAAGGACCCTGGTGCCAGATGGGGTAACTAAGGAAGGTGGTTCCAGGAGCAGCCACCTCACATTCTGAAGGCACTTTAAAAAGGTGGTTGAACCAGCACCATGGCTCATGCCTGTAACCCTAGCCTCTTGGAAGGCAGAGGTCAGGAGGACTGTGGTTTGAGGCCAGCCCAGGCAAATAGTTCTTGAAAAAAACCCATCACAAAAAAGGGCTGGTGGAGTGGCTCAAGTGGTAGAGCACCTGCCTAGCAAGTGTGAGGCCCTGAGTTCAAGCCTCAGTACTGGAAAGAAAAAAAAATGGTTGATCTCTGTTCTGTTATTCATTCAGTGTGCACTGTGGCCTTCACTTGAATAGAGCTGACAAGAAGGGGCAGGTGATCAGGCCTGCCAGCTCCCCCTGGGGCTCAGAGACTTGCCTTCCTAAAACTTTATTGAACTGTCTTTAAGGTCATGTATTAAAAACTAAAACTTAAAAAAACAAAAAAGACCAAAACACCCGGGAACAGCTCGAATATCCACTGATGAATGACTGATGGATAAATACAGTGTAGGTAGATACACACAATGGAACATTACTCGGCTTCAAAAGGAAAGCGATCCTAACAAATGCTGCAACACAGACGGGTCCTCGGGAGTACTGTGCTAAGGGAAGTGAGTCCATCACGAGAGGACAAACATTATCTGACTCCACTAATACGAGGTACCTAGATGAGTCGGTTTCATAGAGACGGGAAGTAGTATGAGCTGAGCTTGGTGTTACACGCCTGTAATCCCAGCACTCAAGGAGGCTGAGGCAGGAGAATCATGAGTTTGAAGCCAGCCTGGGCTACACATAGCAAGACCCTATCTCAAAAAAACATTAAATTAAAATAACAAATAAAGTAGAATGGTAGTGGTCAGGGGCTGGGGGGCAGGAGGAAATGGGAAGTCAGTGTCTGATGGATGGTTTCAGCGAGGTAAGATGAGGATGTCCTGCAGGTGGTGGCAGTGACAGTGTCACAACAAGTGAATGTGCTCAGCACCGCGGGCTGTGCACTTAAAAGCAGTTGAAAAGGTGGACTTCATCTTGCAGACATTTTGCTACAACAAAAATTGCATCTTCAAAACCCACCCTCGGAGCACCCACTAATTGACACTTAGCAAGCGGTAACCTTAAGAGAGGTGTGCTTTTTTACATGCAAATTACACGTGAGAAAAGTTGATTTGAAAAGAAAAAAGGAGCCACTGCCACAAGCCAGGAAGTATGAAATAGTGTATCGGGAAGAACGGTGCAAAAGTCAGTGAGGATTGCTGATAACTAAAATATTATTAGAGCGTTTTTTTTTTTTGTTTTTTTCAGTACTGGATTGAACTCGGAGCATCACTTTTGATAGGCAGGTGCTCTACGGCTTGAACCACACCCCAGCCCTTTCTGCTATTCTTCCCACATGGCTGAGATGACAGGCATGCACCTCTGTGCCCATCACTAATTGAGATGGGGTCTCAAGAACATTTTGCTTAAGCCTTGAACCCTAAGCATCCCAAATAGCTGGGATTACAGGTGTTAGCCACTGCACCCAGCTCTAGAAAACAATTTCAGAAATGCCAGGCTTTACCCTACGGGACCGAGGGCCCAGGGTGTCAGTGTCCATGCATGGTGGGCATTGTGGCCCCGTCTTTGCCCAGCCCGCTCTCCCTGGGTGCCCGAGGACTCACCTGGTCCAGCGTGGTCTGAGTGACAGAGTACTCCTCAATGAGCAGGCTGTCCTTGTGGGAGATGAGCAGCTGGAAGACCCTGGCCAGGGAGGAGGAGGCGACCTGGTACTGCACCATGTTGTAGTGCCTCTCCCTCTGCACACTGCCGGGGAAGTTGCCCTGGAAGAACTGCTCCACAGGATTCAGGTCGGGAGGCAGGTCCTCCCTGGGGGATTTGATCTTCATTGTGACAATGTAGCCATCTCCAAACCTGGGGGGTGCACAGAGTGGCCCAGGCCTGTTAGCAGGGGGTCCTAAGGCAATCCCCGAGTGAGGGGGAGACCCTCGGGCACCAGGGGGCTCAGGGCCTGTACCTCTGACCTTCCATCACGTTCAAAATGAGGAAAGAGCCACTGGCTCACACCTGTAATCCCAGCTACTCAGGAGGCAAAGATCAGGAAGATCCTGGTTCAAAGCCAGCCCAGGGAAATAGCTCATAAGACCCTATCTTGAAAAAAAGCCATCACAGAAAGGGACTGGCTCAGTGGCTGAAGTGGTAAAGTGCCTGCGTAGCAAGTCTGAGGTCCTGAGTTCAAACCTTAGCACTGCCAAAACAAAACAAAACAAAACTAAGGAAGTCCTGATTGCTGTTGGAGAAGCTTTGGGGCCAGTTCTCAGAGGTCTATGCGTCCATGTGGTAAAGTGGACAGATGTAATGCTGAGGTCAAAGGTTGCCCTTGTGGAGACCCAGGCTGGTGTAAGCTGGGTGGTGGCAAAGGCTTGGGAAGGCACCATTTCCTGGGGAAGCGTCTAGAAGCAAATGGAGCTTTGCTGTGGTCTGGGTGTGAAATGTCCCTAGGAGACTCATGTACGGAAGGCTTGGTTCTCACGGAGGCACTGTTGGGAGGTGGGACCTTGAAGAGGTGAGGTTGTCATGGCGGCCCTCACTTCATCAACAGATCGATCCACTGATGATGGAGTATGAGAAGGTGGGCTCAGTAGGGGAAGTAGATCACTGGGGGATGTGCTCTTGAGGGTGTGTCCTTGTCCCTGGTCCCCTGCTCTCCCTCTGCTTCCTGTCTTCCGTGAGGTGATCAGTCTCCTCGAACACACACCCCTGCCCTGATGTTCTGCCTTGCCCCAGGCCCAAAGCAATGGATCCAGTTGACCATGGACTGAAATTTCTGAGTCTGCAAGCCAATATAAACCTTGCTGTTTAAGTTGGTTTCTCTCAGGTATTTTGTCACAGGCAGGGGAAGCTGACTAACACAAGCCCCAGGGCCATTGGTGCTTCCCTCCTCCCCTTGTCGGGTTTGTCAATGGCCCTCACTAGATGGAGGATGGTCCTCCAGAGAATGGGGACATGGCCAGCCGGTGACTGTGCAGAGGTGCGTGTTGGTTAAAGCTCACTTCAACAATCCCTCTGTGATTTGGGGTTGCTGTCTCGGTAAGATGCCTTCCACCTTCAGCTCCAGAAAACTGACCACCCTCCACACGGAATGCCCCCTCACCTTGGGATCCTGAGGAACAGAGGGAAAGGAGCAGCGGAGTGTCCTCCGGCAGCTGGGCACAGGGAGGTATGACCCAGGTCTGGTGGCCTCACATGCTGGGGTCCAGCCAGCTATCTACTTAGTCCCTAAGCTACAGCTGCTCAGGCAATCAGGCCCAATGCTGCTGACCTACTGGCCCTTTCTGCCAGATGCATTCGAAGGGTGATATTTTCTGGGCAAAATATCCCCTTGGATCCACTGAGGACCCATGGAGAGCTGCACCTCGGCACAGAGGAGGTGGGCTCTGAGCTGTGTGTTTTGTCAACTAGCTCGATGGCTTATGTCTGGTCTTTGGCAAATGTGTTGAGTGAGTGAGTGACAGCTGTAAGTCCAGTCCTTCCCGGGTCCTAAGGCAGATCAGAATGCAAGGAGCACAGCCGTGTTGTGATCATCTTGTTTTTGCAGACTATAATTAATAAGGTATTTCGACAACGCTTTGCAATCTCTGAGGACAGGATAAACCCTACCCAAGAGTACTGGCATTGGTGGCTTGTCCTACAAAATACGGTCATTTTTCAAACTCATTCCTACATCGGTTGTGGGTTCTTGCAAAATGGGCCAGGTGTCCTGGATCTGTCAGGACAAGTGGGGTGATCACTAGAACACCCCAGTCTCTGGCGAGCTGCAACCAGAAAGCTCAGAAAAGCCTCTTACCAACACAATGGCTTCCTCCCTCTTCCTCTGGAGAACGAGGCCTGGCCACCTCCAGCCTCTGCCTGAGGGCTGAGAGGGCAGTAGGACCCTCCCAGTGTCCACAGGGGGCACAGGGCCTGAACCCCACATAGGCAGCCAAGAGTGTGTCCCCTTCATCTGCTTACTTGTACTTGAGGTGCTGAATGGTGCCCAGACACTGAAAGGTGCCCTTCACCAAGATGGCCACCCGTGTACACAGGGCCTCGCACTCTTCCATGCTATGGGGAAGAAGGGAGGGAGTGAGGCGCAATAGGACGGGGGGAGCTCCCCCCCACCCACCGCTGGGCCATCTCTTGCCTGTGGGAGGTGAGGACCACAGCTCTCCCCTCTCTGATGATGCTCACGATGGTGTTCCAAAGCATACGGCGTGCCTGGGGGTCCATCCCTGTGGTGGGTTCATCCTGAGGGGAGGGGAGAGAGGGCAGAGGGGTGTAGACTTGGAGGTGGCCTTTCTTGGGCACTGTGTCCTCTCTGGCTGGCTCCCCTGAGCAACATGGTCTCCTCAAAGAACAAGGTGGCAGATACATACACAGCTGATCCCCAGTTAGGCAAGACAGGGCGCACCAGATGCAGGATGTGGGAGGTGAGAGGTGACCCCGAAAGCGAGGGACCGTGATGTACCCCTCTAGACTCATGTCAGCCTGGGAGTGATCAGGCTTGATTAAGGCGGTGGCAGAATTACCCATAGAAAGGGAGGGAGGCAGGGGGACAGCCCAGGTAACCTTCCATGTCCAGCGACCCATACCCTCAAAAGCCCCAGGCCTGTCCAGCTCAGGGGAGAGTCACAGGAGTCTTGGAGCCAGGTCAACCCTCCTGTCCACTCTGGATCCCACTCTGACAGTAGTGATTTCTGAGTAGATAACAGTGTTCCCCAGAGTGGGCAGAATGTCCCCACTGGCAGCTTGTGGCTCTCACAAGACTCCAGGATCTCACAGTCTATGCTGTGACTCAGTTCCCCCACGAGCTGCCGCCAGACACCGGTCTGCTCGACGTCAGCAGTCCAGACAAAGCTTTTTCTAAAGCTGCTGGCCCAGAGCCATTCCTCCACCCTGAGATATGCAGACTTGTGTCAGCTCTCAGGTCACGGTGTCCTCACCAGCAGCACCAGTGGCGGGCAGCCGATGAGTGCAATGGCTGTGGACAGTTTGCGTTTGTTGCCCCCGCTGTAAGTGCCCGCCAGGCGGTCCGCGTAGACAGACAGCCCCAGGCTCTGAATACTCCAGTTTGCAACCTAGGGAAGAGAAAGAAGTCCCATTTGGTAAAGTTGAGCAAGTGGACACCCCAGACTTCCCACAGTTCAAAACTGTGGGTTCTCAGATCTTACCCTCCCATCCCAGAATGACAGGCCCAGCTAGGCTGAAACAGGTTCAAGTTCCCTGATGCACGCCTCAGGCTAGGCAGAGTGTCCTCTCCTCTGTGTACCTCTGACCCCAGTGTGGCTTAGGCAGCTGAGAACCCGGCAGGTGCAGCCTCCTGGGAAATGGCTTTCAGCCTTACAAAGCTAGAGACAGTATTGTCACCCAGCGTCCTGGGATATGGCTAGGCCTGGAGGAGGAAGAGTCCCAGGGTGTCTTTCAGAAGATGGCGGGTGCAAGACCATTTTGGTTCTAGCCCTTGACAAGGTCCCACCTGCAGTTTTGCTCATCTAACATACTTAAGTAGCATCTGCTATGAGGCAGGTGTTGAACTAGACCCTAAAGGGACAATGTGGACACAGCCACTGTTGTGCTCACGGACGGGGGTGGTGACAGACAACTGAAATAAACAGAGGAATGACAGATTAACCGAGCCTTGAGGGAGCACAACAGGGAACTATGACAGAGAACATGGCAGGGGGGTGGGATGTTGAAGATGATCCACCATGCCTCTGCCTCCTGCATCTGTCCTACTGTCTCCTGGAATTCCTCCCAGTGTCTCCATGGCCTCCTTGCCTCCTTTAGGCCTCACTCAGACCTTGTCGCCTCCGTGAGGCCCTCCCGGATGAAATGCAAACCCCGGCCCAACCATCAGGACTTCCCTCTTCTCTTCAACTCAGTTACTTCTCCCACTGGAATGCAAGCTCCATTTTAAACTTTTTATTAGGAAATAGTTTCAAACTTACAAAAATGTGTCATAATAAAAATGGTACAAAAAATGCACACACAAGCCTTCTCTCTCTCTCCCCCACCACATACACACGTAAACACATTTTTCTGACTCAATTAGTCATGTCGTGTATTTCTTAAAAACAGGGTTGTTCTCTTACACACCTGCAGCCGCTTGTCCCAGGATCACATGACACTTTTATCTAATCTTCTGCTCATAGCTCAGTTTTGTCAATTGGCCTACTAAAATTCTTCATATCCTTTTCCCCATCTAGGACTATTCTGCAATTACAAATGCAATGGATAACCTCATGATATGCGTTTGGTTCAGTGGGGCATCTATCTTTAGGGTAAGTTTCCGGATGCATGATTGCTGAGTTAAAGGATAACTGAACACATTGTCCTGTTAGATATGACGGCAGGATTTCTTTTTGTCCCCAGCTTCTAGGACAGTCACGGGCACACAGTAGACACTGAGCACTTGTGAAGAGTGGATGGCGTGCTGTGCTCTCCTGTCTCTAAATGAGCGCACTCCACAAAGCTGACTTATGCTTTACCAAACTCCTATGCAGCCACATGAAGCCAGTTTTTACCTTCTCGATTTCCTCTGCTGGCACACCCCGGAGCCGGGCGTACAGGTAAAGGTGCTCTCGTCCCGTGAGCAAGTCATCGATTGCATCAGACTGGGGACAGTAACCCATGCTCTGATGCACCTCAGACATATTGGTCGGGATGCTGCAAGGGGAAGCAGCAGGTAGTGAGTGAGCTTGTTTCGTAGAGGGGCTGACCAGAGCCGGGTCAGGGGGCTGCTGTCCATGGGGTGGGACCTTCCTCTCCCAGCTTTGCTGAGACGTGTGCACAGCACTTGCTAGACACACGAACTTCAGGAGTTCTGCATTTTGAACACCTGCTACTCCAAAGTCAGCTTTGGTTTTGGATGGGATCACCTCGCTTGTGAGACTAAAAAAGAAGGGAGATCAGGTTTAAGAAAATGATCAGTGGGTTTTAATCCCTTTCACACATTTGTGAAGTAAAAACAGATGCTTCACAATGCCAGAAAGCTTCTCCACTCGTACTTGTAGTCAAGTGAATCGGGTTCTAGCATCTCCCTTGGACAAATACATTCTCCCTTACTAGGAAATACACAGCCTTGATGAAAAATAAAGAGTAATAGATTGTGTCATCCAGTCTCATTCCTCTCCCCTTAAAGCCTAGGGACAGACAAAGCCCATCACAGTTCCTTACTGTGACAAAGGCCACTAAAGGTGTGGTGGGGCCAGTTAAACTCCCAGGGAAAGGAAGAGAGTGCTTTGCCAAGCTCATAGGAGCTACTCCACTGGAGAATCTCAATCTTTAAGCCTAAAACTTCTAACTTCCAGTTTAGTCTTACCTTTTGCACGAGATGATGTCTCATTTGCACCAGAACTTGATGTCACCTGGTAAATTCCGGGTTTATCCTCCCCGAACCCCTCCCTCAACAACCACCAAGTCGCCTGCTTGGCTGTGGGCTAGGCTGGATCAGCAGTTGAGATAGACTCAGCCAGGACCTGGTTCTGCCTTGGCCAGTCTTTTGCGATAGACCCAGCTGGGGAAGGCTGGGAGACCAGACACATCTTATCTGAGCCACTTCTGAATGGGTTCAGGACGCCCCTGCCACAGGTCATCAGCTGTGCTGAGGGTGGCTTTTACCTGCCCCAGTCAAGGAGACACTGGGAAAAGTCAGCAGAGCCTCTTTCCGCTTAGAAAGCAGAGCAGAGTTCCTCAGGACACATCTGCCATGTGCAAGCATTGCACACGGGAGCAGCCAGCGAAGATGCAAACAAGCAAGAGCTCACCCTCTGTTTAGTACAGAGGGCAGCAGCCACCCTCTGGAAGCCAAGGGCACAGACAGTTTTCCCTCTGTTCTGCTTGGTCTGGCATCAGCACCCAATGGCCAGTGCAGATGAGGACCCCAAGAACCCTTGACCGGGGCCCTTTCTAGGAACTCAACAAACAGAAAGGGCAGAAAGGATGCTGCCCTGCAGGGGCTCCAGCAGGACACAGCTGGCTTCAGGACTCAGTGAATTCCCTGACGCGCTAGGAGAAACATGGAGGGACGTAACGGGAGGCAACGCGTGTTCTCACCCGGACGAGGATGCGTGGATTCACCAGGGGCTTGAAGCAATCCGGGCGACAGCACATTCTCAACCATCAGTTCAGTTCTCCACCGGGTCTATGTCTTGTGCTTTTGTTAGTTTATTTTGCTTTTTCTTTCGGAGACAGGCTCTTACTATGTAGCCTGAGCTGGCCTCGACCTTGCCATCCTCCTGCCTCTGCCCTCCGAGTGCTGGGGTTACAGGTGTGCACCCCTACACTTGGTCTTACACTTTGTGGGCTGTGGTATCTGGGAGGCCCCCCTCCTCCGCATAGAACTTTCTGGGTCTCAGCGTCACCCTGACATACGATCTGGGGGTCTTTTGCCCTGTGCTGGGTCAGGGATGTGACCCAGGACCTGTGAGACAGCCCAAGTTGGAAGCACAGTGCACTCACCTTTTGCCTGCTATGGTGGCATCCCCTGAGGTCACGGTGGTGTCCCCAGTGAGCATTTTGAACGTGGTTGTTTTGCCAGCACCATTCACTCCCAGGAGGCCAAAGCACTAGGTGGAAACACAGAACTGGCCTCATCTAGAGGCCAAGGTCTGGATCTCAGTCAGTCCCAGGGCCAGTGTGTGAGCTGGGGGTGGTGTTTTAGACCTGGGCTGTCATTACAGAGGCTGCTGGCCATGTGTGGCCACTGACACAAAACACATCTGGTTCCAATTGTCATGGTCCCAGGTCTTTGAAGACTTAGAATGAAGAAAGAATCACAGTAATCCCACTAAAAAGGTCTACATTTACATGTTGAAAGGATAATATTTTAGATGCATTGGATAAAATATCTGATTTAAATTAATTTTGCCAAGTTTTACTTTTTTCATGTGGCTACTAAGAAAATTAAAAAATATACACGTGGCTTGTGTTAGGTACCTATTACATAGCTCTGCTTTAGAGGGAGAAGAGCCGTGCAGGATAGCTGATTTTCTGAGGTCCTCTCTTGCTAGTTTGGGTACTCACCTCTCCAGGGTGGACCCCAATGCACAACCTGTCCACCGCTGGGCTGGAAGAGCCCGAATATACCTGCAAGATCCAGAGGAACTGGGCTGAGGGCTGAGGCGGTGTTAGAGTGGGGAGGGGAAGAGGGAATGGAAGGCAAAGGATGGTTTGAGGGAAACCCAGGAGGTTACCATGGATGTGACATTCAGAGAGGAGCTGTGAACAGTGGGAGGTGACCCTCGCCCTGCAGAACCACACCCACAATGGAGGAAGGCCGCTGGGCCCTGTGTCAGCAGCAAGAGGAGCAGTAGGGACAGAGTCTGGGAGGCAGATATTCTTGGAAGACTGGAGGTGGTGATGCTCCATTAAATTAGGAACCAGACTTCTTGCACAAGCAGACGAACCATGACAATACTGTGCCATTTGTGGGTCCAAACAGCATCTCCACACTGACCTGCCCGTTTCCATCCCTCACCTTGGTGAGTTCATTTAGCCTTAAGATGTCAGTTTTGCTCCCCCCACTCATAATTCTTTGTCTTTCTTCAGCCACGTCATCATCTTCATCCACAATAGGCTCCTTGGCAGGCTCGGCAATCCTGGAGGAGGGAAGGGGACAGGATTGTGCTGGGTGGGGTGTCCTTTCCATCTCACCTTGCCTTCCATCCTCTCTCAGCTTCCCCAGCCCCAAGGCTTAAATTCTAAAAAGGGCTCCCAACTAGATAGAGAGGTCAGACTCAGCCCCGGGTTCCAGTCCTGCCTCCGCGAGCCTGACCTCGGGCGCATCGCTGGAGCTCTTTAACCTTGCCTCCTTCAACCACATGATGGGAGGAGAGAGGAATGTCTGTCTATCTTGTAGCGCTTGGCACAGGGCAAACTACTTCCTCCAGCCCACCCTGCCACCCTGACCTCTTCAAAACAGTGTTATCATGGTCTCCATGTGCTGAAGGTCATACACCCAACTGCTCAGAATCTCAGAGGCCTGCGATCAGATCTACCTGCCTTCCCATCTTACACTCACTCGTCCACAGCCATTGGCATCTGCCATGTCCCAACCCAACCCATGCTGGTGTTCCCAGTTCCCAGACTTGGCTTGTTCTTTTCTTCCTGCCTCAAGGGCATCCGCCCCATACGTAAAGACCCAGCCTCTTCTCTGAAACCCTCCCTGGCCAACCAGGCCTCCAGGCTTTCCTCCCTCCCTCTCTGACCACATGCAGTCCATCACCAAGTCTTATCTAACACACTTCCTACTAGTTATCCAATCAGCCTATTTTTCTCCATCTCTTGATACCCCCATCCCTCTCTAGGCCACCATTGTCTCTTGCCTGGGTACCAACATGGCCTCTTCTCTGGTCTTCCTGTTCCCAGCTCTGGCAAGATCATGTCACTCCCCTGATTAAAACATCCCAAGGGTTCCACATGGCCTTCAGGCATGAGTCCCAAGTCACCAAGATTAGGGGTCATGAAATCATGACCTGGTTCTGTCTGCCTCTTAAGACTCACTGCCTTCCAAAGCTATCCTGACCTCTCTCCATCCTGCACACCAGTCCATGTCTTTGTGGCTGCAGTACCTTTCTGCAGGCCCTGTCCTCTACCACGAGTACCTGTTCTTCCTCCCCTCCCCTCTCTGTGCCTGGTTACCTCTCAGTTTGGGCATGGCTGTGAATGTCTGGAAGCCAGAGACTATGATTTACTTCCTTGGTCCTTTTTGAGGCAAAAGGAAGGCAGGACTTGCTCAATTGTGTTGGCATCAGAGTTTGAAGGTGATGAGTTGGTTTTGATGATCAACCCTCTTTCCCTTCCCTACAAAAGCTTCTAAGACACGTGGCCCAAACTGTCAAAGGTTCTTCAAGGGTTGAGGGTCCCAAAGACAATAGGTCCTCACAGTGTCTCCCATAATTAGAACCACTTCTTGATCATGTTTTACTCAAAGTGTGTTGACCCATTATCTTATTCAATCCTTTCGACCCCATGAATAGGGCAGCAGATCAGTTCCAATAAGTGAACTCCCTGCAGATCAAGCCCTCCTCAGCCCCCACAAAACCCCAAGTCCGTGGAATCTTCATTGCATGAGATCGGACTCAGCCTTAGAGGAGGAACTGCTAAGAAACAAAACACTGCTAGGAAAGCTTGTTGGGAGGACCCAGTGACTGCAATTCGGGGCTCTGGGTGCAGCCACTGAAGGTCTGGATCATACAGAGGCTGCCCTTTGGAAACAGAACCCACACCAGAAGGAGGCAGGGGCTGGCGGGGTGTTGGAGGAGAATGGCCAGGTTCAGGAGGAGGGGTCCTGGCCAGCTTATTTGGCCACTGAGAAGTCCTGGCAGAGTTGAGGTTGGTAGCTATCTAGCCTGGCTCCAGGTTTTGAGGGTGTATCATTGCCCCTCACCCCTCCACAGGCTCCTGGCTGCCCTCACCTGGCACAGGACCCCTGTGTCACGTCCTTCCTTCCCTGCTCTGTGTCCAGTCACAACCCTAACTAGCAAAGGGACGTACTTTGTCTCCTTTCTCATGGATACATAAACTCAGCCCCAGTACTCTGACTACCCTTGCCAGTTATTTGTAACACTATTATCTGATTTAAAATGAGTGGCTGCTAACTGAATAAGATTAAATATTAAGAAGAGTAGAGTTGAGACTTGACCCAGATTCAAACATGCCAAGTTTTGATCCCATCTCTCTGCATTATTCAGAGCAAGCCAGGCTTTGAGAGCGTAAGAACCATTGTGAAATGAGACTCCTGAGGACAGAAGTCACCATGTCAGGGCAAAGTCCACTCCTCTCCACACTGGGCACCCGCAGGACACAGCAAGACGTACCATCGGGTGAGGAAGAAGTGGTGCTGGATGAAGAGCGTCAGGAGGAAGTACAGAACCCCTTCCACTGCCATGGCAACCAGGTTCTTCCCAATCAGGTCCCACTGGAATGGATTTGAGGAGTGCTCCTCTCCTGAGGACGAAGGCCAGACATCAACAGGAACTGAGTGCATCAGCTGTTCTGGCTTGCCCCTACAGACCCGGCTATAGCATTAGGCCCAGAGGGACCAGGCCTTATGCAAGGATTTAGTAAGAGTCTCATCCTGGATCCCCAAATCAGAGTGGCAGAGAATAAAGCCTGCTGTCACCCCTGTGGCTCCTCATCCATGGAAACAGAGTCCCCTAATCCATTCTATGTGTCAATAAGATGCCAGACCAGCATCTAGGCACCCTCCTAGCCCCAGCCAGGCTGCAAGTCTGACATAGGACCCCTCTGCCACCCTCCCAGCCTGGATGGATCCATGGGCCTTGAATTCCACCCACCAAACCGGGCATAGACGTCTGTCACAGCCTGGCTCAGCGCCAGGTCAATGAGGCCCCGGCCCAGGCAGAAGTGGGGAAAGATAACCAGCAGCTTCCTCAGCCCGGCGTTGAACCTGAGCAGAGTCTGAAAAAGAGAAATGGAGTGTCGGAAGTGGGGGCTGAGGCTGTCTACCCACTCCTAAGTAGGATGCCCACACGATGCGGGCCCCGGGAGGTCTGTGGACCAAGGTGTCCCTGCAGCTAGGTCGGCCTCAAGAGGGTTCACCAAGCATAGTGCAGAGGGTTTGATGGGGAAATCCTGGGGGGTCTCAGGAGGAAGCAATTGCTGAATATGCAATCAGTGACTGGGCTCTCTGCACAGTTCTGGGGGACAAGAGCTGACACCTTTGTCCAGCCAGGTAGCATTTCATTCTCTCCTTTTCTTGGTGGTACTGGGGTTTGAACCTCAGGCTTGGCACTTGTGAAGCAGACACTCTATTGCTTGAGTCACACCTCCAGCCCTTCTGCTCTGGTTATTTTGGAGATGGGGTCTTGTTTTGTGTACAGGTCCTGGACCATAATGGAACTCATATTTTATGTTTCCTGAAGTAGCTGGGATGACAGGTGTGCACCACCACACCTAGTTTTTCTCCCTTGAGATGGGTCTTGGGAACTTTTTTGCTCAGGCTGGCCTCGAACCTTGATCTTCCCGATCTCAGCCTCCCAAGTAGTGAGGGTTACAGGTGTGAGCCACTGGCGCCTGGCTCTGGCAATGGCTGTCCAATACCACGTGGACACCAGGGCTAACTTGGAGAACATTGCTTTCTTTAACCCTAGGTCTCAGGTGACCGATGTGGTGGTCAGTCAGCCAGGGTAGCTCTCCTGCAGGCTCCTTTGCCATCACTGGGGAGGCCTCTAAGACGGATGTTACCGGGACACGCCACAGCTGCTGGGAGTGTGGCTCTGAGCCATTCCTGGACAGAGAGGCTCTTTCAACAGGTCCACCTTAGCCCAGTGTGAACCAAAAGGCAACAAGAATGAGCCCTGTGCAGGCTCTGCCTCTCAGCTCTGCACAGGGTAGCTTCCCCTGTCTAAGGAGTGAACACAGCCTTCCCCTAAATGGCAGGGGGACACTGAGGGGGTGAAGCTGCCCAAGTTCGGCTGGGCTAGTGCTGCCCGATCCACCTGGTCCCTCCCCACCCCACACTTGCCACCTTTTCAGTTCCACACCTTCACTGGTTCCCTCATCCTTCTCTGTGCACCCTCCCCCACTGTTCCCAGCATGACTTTGGCTCCTTTGCCTCTGAATTTGCAGTTTTTAGGACCTACTGCTCTTAGCTGGAAAGGGTTCTCTTTCCCCTTTGCTTTCTGATGGATTCCTGTTCTTCAGGAAGCTTAATCAGGAAGGCTTCTCTCCATCATCTTCTCCGATTCCCACGGTAAAATGCCCATCTCTTTCTGATAGCATTTGGCGCACCCCCAGGTTACTTTCATTAGTTTTTAACCTGCCCACTTTCTCCACTAGTCAGGGTCCCCGGGAGGCAGGGACTGGGTCCCAATTGTTTTGTGTTCTTCCTAAACACCTCGCACAATGGCTAGCTGAGCCTAGGCACCTCATTATTTGGTAATCGGGCTAACAATTCTACATCCTCCAAGCCAGGTTCAAGTTGAACTTAAAGTCTCCTGACCCTCACAGCCAGCTCCCTGGCCCTCTGTGACCTGCAGCCTTTCACCTGCTCCTTTGCTGTGCTATCACACAGGGTTGTGTGCTGTGGCGTATCTCAGTGGCTAACCTGGTGTGGTGTGGCAGGCCATTTCTCAACAGGAACAGGAGCTCCTGGGGAACAAGGCGAGTGGCCACACTTGTTTATAATAGCTGTTCATCACATAGTGTTCCCCTGTTAAATCCCCCCTGACTGCGCAGAGGCAGCAGCTTCTGGGACTCAGGAGCCTCCCAGGGCACACGGAGTTTCTGCAGCAACTGTCCATCTTTCTGGGGTGAGGTAGGCAAGCGGATGTGCTCAGAAACTGTGAGCGCCGCCACAGGAGGAGAATGTTTGAGTCACTTTGAGGTTGCGGTTTATTTATTCTGAAGTAGCACGTTCCCCTAGGACTGGGTGGGTTGTAGGACTGTGACAGAAATGGTTCCAGCGGGAAGAATTTCATTCACCAGGATGCTCTGGCCAGCAGCTGGGTCTGTCTTCCCCTCCACCCCCTGCTGGGGTCTGACTGCAACCTCCCCTATCTCTGTCTGTCTGTCACATGCAGCAGGTGGGTTTCATTTTTTGCTTGGCAGCTACAGAATGGCTGACTAGGTCTGGGAGCGTGTGGCTCTAGGAAGCCATGAGCTTTGCCCTCTGTCCCCCCAGCAGGACCCAGTGCAGAGAGCTGGTCAGTGTCCATCCTCTGAACCGTGAAGACCTAGTGAGGAAAGGCAAGGCTAGTGAGGCACCTGGTGACTCAGGTACACAGGTGAGCCAGGTGACCTGGGATGCTCTAAGGACATCCCAGCAGGACTTAGACACAGCAGCCTGGAGCAGGATCATGAAGTAAAGTCAGCCCCGTAGTCACTGCCCTTTTTTCAGAGTTCAGTCCAGCCATCTCTTTTTGGACAAGGAGGGGTCAGAGGGTATGGACAGGACAACTGGATCTGATAGCTCATAGTTTAGTCATTCAATTCCATGATTTCCTGATCTGGTCCTCAGGGTTAACTTGGGGGTAGAACAGTGTATATTAGTATGTTATAATTTGTGTCATGTGTGAGAGAGAGACAGAGAGAGAGACAGAGAGAGAGAGAGAGAGAGAGAGAGAGAGAGAGAGAGAACTCTAACATATAAAGTCTTTAAGGAAACCTTCTTAAAGGGGTAAGAAAACCTAAAAAGCTTGGTTGGTGGAAGGTCACTTGTGGATCACAGAATAGGCTTAGAAAACATGGCACTCAGCGTGTACCTCAGTGGGAAGACGGTGTGTGGGGGGGAGAGGAGCGGGGAGGGATGCTTGTCTGGGCTCTGGGCATCTACACAGACAGTCCTTGCTTGTGGCTGTCTGACCAGTGTGTCCTCTCCGCCACCCACTAATCCGGCAAGGACGCCAAGAGCACTGTGCTCACCTGGTTGTTCTCGAACAAGTCCAGGATGAAGGTGATGGCACTGCTGTTGATGCCCGTGAACAGATTTGCACACGACAAAGCCACATAGGCTGTGCTGGGGACATCAAACAGGAAGGACGCTGGGTACATCATGGGAATGACTGCCCATCTGTGTGAGATGACATGGCTCAGGGGAGAGTTCCAGTTTTCACTCCATCGGCCACACCTCTAGACCTACTCATTCCCTTCACGGAACGTGTGACTATGTGTCTGAACTGGCCAGAACTCCAGGGACAAAGAGATATGTATCCCTTGGTCTCTGCACCCCATCTTTAAATGGAGATAATGCCTGCTCTGCCCACCTCACTGATTCTGTGAGGAGAAATGAGACGTAGCCGTGTGCATACTTTGTGAATTGCAAAGCCTTAAGCACACCCAGCAATGCTTCCCACTCCAAATAGAGCTGGGGTCCCAACGAGCTCACCTTCACATTGGCTCCCAAGCCCTCCAATTGCAAGAGGGATGAATGGAGACCAATGCCCTGGTAAGACTCTCCTGATCCACACATTATTCCCATTTTACAGAGGAATAAACTGAGCCCCAGATGGGTGAATTACTTGTCTACAGCTAACACCTGCAGCAAGTGCTGGGCCTGGGATAAAGTTGCGTGCTTTGCCTTATAATTCGGCTGACTCTTGGTGTCACCCCCTAGCCTGACTTGGGAGTAGCTTTCCAGCTGGGGTCTTCCACTGTGTGCAAATAACTGTTGGCCAGTACAGATAGAGACTGATGGGCAGATTGACCACAGGTGAATCGGAATCAGACCTGGGGAGGAGCTGAGGCGTGAATGACTCCCAGACTTTGGTCAAGGATACAGCTGAAAGGAAGAAGATTCAGATCCCGTGCAGCCCCCTGCCATTGTTGGTGGCGTTCTGACTCCACCACAGAAGCCAGGCAGATTCCTGATCAGCAGCCTCAGACCCTGCCTGGCTAACAACCTGTGCAGGCCCAGGTTTCTGTCAGAAGACAACAACCCCCTCTGGTGGCTTCCCTTTGGTGGCTTTAGCTAGTGGCCCAAACGACTTACCCATACAGCATTAGCAGAGCGACGAGAGCGGGAAGGTTCTGTGGAGAAGTGTAGGCTTTCTTCTGAAACCCGATGAAGATGCCCACCACCAGCCCCGCGCTCACGGCGTAATTCATCTTGGAGAGAAAAGAGGACAGGAGGTCACCGAGCCGCTAGGACCTCTTTTTCCTGCTCCGTAGAATGAGGAGTGGGATGAGGTTGATTACAAAGAGTGAAGCTGTGCCTCGCCTTCCTCCCCACTGCCTCTCCCCGCAGGGACCCTCAGTCTGTCTTTGGAAAGATGGAAATGACACCTCACTCTTTCTCATTGGCCACGAAGCCCTGTTAAAGCTACTTCCTAAGCACGTATCCACACAAACCCACAGGGATGATGAGACCTGTGCTAAACAATGCAGTCCTGAAGCCATTAGGTCAGGGAGGGGAAGATGGGCAACCATGGGATAGTCAGGTATTGAACAGGACGAAAACCTGTGAGGGTGGGGAGGCCCCTGTACAGACGGCATCCAGGATTGGGTGCTGGAGCCCATGTGTGATTAGGAAGGTGCTGATCTGGTGTGGAGGATCAGAGCCAGGACCGGATATGGAGGGGCATTCTGCAAACTAACTGTCGGCCTGTAATCCTCAAGGGGATCAAGGCCATGGGTGTTAATGACAGGCTGAGGCACTGTTCCAGGCTGAATGGCAGGAAAACTCTAGTAGGGTGACCAAGTGCAAGCCATGCTTCTGAGCTAGGTCCTTTGCTAGAAAAGGCATGCTGGGGCAATGGGGGGAGCTTGAGTGGGTCTGAGGAGTAGGCAGTGGTCACGAGTCCGTGCACACTCCTTTTGCTGCTGATGTCAGTGTGGTACTTGCAGGGGGAGGGTGCTTGTTTGCAGGAGGCATGCATCAGAGGGGTGCGTGTGAGAGAGAGAGGGGCGGGGGAGAGAAAGAGAGAAAGGGAGAAAGGGAGAAGGAGAGGGAGAGCGAGGGGAGGGAGGGAGAGAAGAAGGAGGAGGCTGGAGGAGGATGATGGAGGAAGAGAGAGGGGAAGGGAGAGGGAGAGGAGAGGCATCTTGTCAAGAAGTCACTCTCAAGTGACTCAGAAAAAAGTTTTAAATTATACTTGCTGCTTTTCCATAATCTATGATTGTTTCAAAATTTAAAAGAAAAGCAGATGACAGACATTAAAAGATAGGAATTTAAAGCATCGCAGACACTCTAGCTGCATGGTAGAAACAATACTCGCCCATTCAACACTGACCCCAGGTAGCATTGTCTTTTTGTCACTGGTTAAGGACAGAGAGACATTCCAGCAGTCTACACCCTAGAGATCTTTGTGTCTACTCTCCTTGTGTCTCCACAGCTCAGAGTCCTCTCTCTGAACACGCACACACGTGCATACACACATGCACACAGGCACACATACGTGCACATCTGCCCCAAGGGTAAACGATATTCCTCGTGTTTAAAAAAAGTAAAATGAAAGCAGCTCTCTAGTAAGTCGTTTCCAGAGCAGGTGGGCCTGCCTCCTTCCTTCCATGTTAAAACCACAGGGCAAACGAGGCTCATAGTTTCTGACCTTGCTGTGAACGTGTGAGCATTTTTTTGTGCAGCCAGAAGAGAGAGGAAAAAATGTAGGCGGTAGCTGCTTAGCAAGGTAAAAGCGATGACGTCAGTGGCATCCTTGTTCGAGGCCACGTGGGGAGCCATTTTTCTGCTCTCCAGCAGCTGGGGTCTCATCACTGGTCTTGGAGTGTCGAGATGAACAAAGGATCCCATTACTCAAGACACCAGAAGACATCGTGGGTGACCTGGTGACCCTGCTACAGGACACCTAGGCCTTTGCTACCAATCGCTTTGACCTGAGGCCTGTCATAAGATAGCCTGTTCCAATTCCTTTCTGCCCCTTAACCTGCCTGTGAGAGAGGCAGGTAATCGTGCTGTTGGTTTAATAATTGTTTTCTTTATTTTCCCTAACGTGATGGCTAGTCTGATACACTGAAGGTCTGGCTACTTTGGGGAGTAAAGTGAGGCAACTGAGTAGGGTTTCCTGATCTCACAAATAAAAATCCAGTCTGTCTAATTAAACTTCAATTTCAGATAAATGGCCTGTTTTTTTTTATATAAATATGTCCCATGCAATATTTAAAGTAATATATACATATATATAAATTTTTATATATATAAATTATTCACTGTTTATCCCAAAACTCAGATATAACTCCTGTCCTGTATCCATGTGGTGACCCTTCTCCTTTGGGGTTGGGCAGGATTTAACGATGGCTGAATGAATGACCAATTGGTGTCACCTTCCCAGATCCAAACTCTTTCTGGGAAGGCCAACTTCAGGCCTGCAGTGCAGGGTCTGGAGTGCTCTGAGGCACAGGACACAGACAGCTCCTCCTCGATGGCTGTTAAGCTGTGCCCCACAGCCGTGCCCAGCTTTGGGCTAAGAAGATGTCAAGAGACAGCAGACAGACACACAAGGTGTGGCATGGTGTCTTCTAGCAGTCTTGGCAGTGTGAGAACCCCTCCCTGCCATATCCCCTGCATCAGAGTGCACACAGGTGCCACCTTGGGCCCTTTGGACAGAGGGAAGACGTGACTCACAATGTCCCAGAGGAAGTTGGTCAGCCAGTAGGTGGTGGGGCTCACCCCACTGATGAACTGCAGATGCTTTGCCTTGCTCACCCGCTCCTGGATCAAGTAGAGGACAAAGCTGGCTGGGACAAAGGACATGGCAAAAATGACGCAAATGGCAACCACGGCATCCACTGAAGTGGTCAGCCTGCAGCAGGATGGAGTCACAGGGAAGCAGAAGTGAAGAGGGAGACACGGAGACCAGAGGAGGTACACATCAGGCTCTGAGCCACCGTTACCCAAGCCCAGGCCCCTGCCTGAAGCAACTCCTCTGAATCCTCTTACTCAGTGGGGTCAAGGTCAAGTGGATATTTGTTGGCTGCTTTTCTGTCTGGGAGAACTTTTCTACAGAACGATTCTTTTTCCTAGGTTTCCTGACTGGTCGTTACGGTGTTCAGAAACAGACGTCTGTACTAATCTCATAAACTTTAATGCCTTCATTGGTGCCAATCATTTGCCTGCAGATTCTCTCGAGTGTTCTAGACGGGGCTGTGGTCTGAGATCTCATTACATGCTCACGGTGTAAACTTGAGGGAAAAGAGAACAGGCTGGGCTGCTCTCAATTTATCCTTCCTGGACCAAAGAGAAGGCATATATATGGCTCGGGGTAGTGAGAGCGAATCTGGCCTAAACTTTAGGATTCACAACCAGTGTGGGGCCGTATGTGGTGCCCAGTGCCCCGATGAAAGTCCAGACAGCATCGTCTGTCTACACACATGGTAAGCATGGAACCATGACTGGAAGGAAACACGGAAGTCTATGGAAAATACCCTGACCTGTGTAGGGTCATAGATACTCCGTTCTTAAAACTATTACATAAATTTTATTTAATGAACATACACTATTTTTAGTTTTGGATTTTTTTTTGGTGGTAGTGGACTTGAATTCAGAGCCTCACGCTTGCGAAGCAGGCAGTCTACCCCTTGAGTCACACCTCTGCTTATTTTAGAGATGGGGGTCTCATGAACTATTTTCCTGAGCTATCCTCAAACCTTGATCCTCTCCATCTTAGCTTCCCAAGTAGCTAGGATAACAGGCTACAGGGTGAGACACTGGCACCCAGTTAATTTTTGCTGTTGTTTTTGAGACATGGTCACATTTGTAGCTGAGGCTGGGCTCAAACTCATAACCCTCTTGCCTTTGCCTCCTGAGTACCGGGATTACAGATGTGAATCACTACGCCAGCCAGCATGTGCTATTTTATGATCTCAGAATGGTGCTCTTATTTCATATTCAAGAGGCTTCTTGGCAGGAGGTATAGAAACTTGGGGCTGAGTGAGAATTAACAGAGGACAGTGAGGGCCCCTGAGGGGGAACAGAGGAAGGCAGCCAGAGGCCAAGGCCCAAGTGTTAGTGAGGCGCCACTGGGCATGTTTAAGCAGCAGTCAGGGTACAGTGGGATAGGAACCTTCCAGAAGAAGTCTGCCCCAATAAAGACACCACTACCAACCCCTCCTCCATGTAGGCCTCAGATAGAGCGCAAGATTGATGTTTTTATTGCCTGACGCTCGTCCCTAAGGCCTAAACTCAAGGAGGACAGCTCCAGAGCATGACCACCAGGGGGAAATTGCCAGAATCTAAGATAATTACACCTGGGAAGCTAAAGATTCATGGAACTTTCTCAGGCCCCGGCAGGGACCTTGCATACAGGCACGGAGACTTGTGTAAAAGTGAGGAGCTACTTGAACCTCCTGGAGAATGTCAGCTTGCTTTCCAAACAAACATGGCCATGCATGGGGAAGAATGGCCACGCAGTTTGGCGCAGGAAGCATTTGAAAGTGTTATGTTAGGTTGCCATCCAGTCTAGAGGTTCACAGTGATAAAAATCATCTCTGGTTTCCCCAGAGTGGCGGAGGTGACAGGGAAGCTGAGAGGCCAGGCTGTGGTGGCTTACACTGTGATCTCAGACAGCTGCTCCTTGGTCAGGTTCAGGGGCTGGCTGATGACTGTGATGCCGTACTCCTCAGGGTTTCTGTCCTTGGGCACATTGGCCCGTAGGATAGCATTGTGGGCCACATTCAGAAAGCTGACCAGGGCATGCCAGCCCTTGTTGTTAAACCACACCTGGAGGGCAGAGAGGGGCTCCATTAGGCTGTGCTATAATCCCACACCAACAGCCCTGAAAAGGAAAATCTAGCACAGAGGAAAAAGAATGTGGGAAGGAGGAAGGGTTGGTCAGCTGGAAAAGACATTCCTCCTTTGATTTCAGAGGAGGAATGGATTTAACCGAGCTGGGAAAACAAGAACGGAATGACTGGTTCCTTGTGACCTTTTCGCTCTAGGGTAGATGATGTAAGTCAAGCACCTTAATGTTGTCTTCAGTTTCGAGATCATGGAGGAAATGAGACATTTCTTGGGAGGCCTCTCTGGTGTTAGGGCCCTAGAAAACCATAATAAACAAACAAGAGGGTTTTGTTTTCATTACCACTGGAGACTGTTTCTCTTTCGTAACAATTAGGCAAGGCAACAACCCTACCCAAATTTCCAGTCTGTTTACGTACCCCGCTCAAGTTCATTATCCAGCCAAGGTCGCTTAAAAAGCCAACAAGTGCCTCCCCGGTGAAGGGGGGAGCCGGGAGCGTTCCTCCGATGGAGATACCCCCATACCTGCAAGGCAACAGGAAGTGCTCGGGCTGATGCCTGAACTCCACGCTCACCAGGGCTCCGCAGCTTCTGTAGGGAAGTGTGTACTTTGGAGGGGGTGTGGGGGACTTGTCCCGACCAGGGAGCAACAAATTCAAACCAACTTTTCTTTTTTGGAGACAGGGTCTTGCTTGCCATGTTGCCCATGGCAAATTCCTGGGCTCAAGTGATCTTCCCAATATCACTGTGCCCAGCTATAAACCAACTTCTAACTCTTCCTTATTGCTGTCCAGGATGATGGCCGGACAGTCTGAGTTTGGTCTCTGTTCCTCTCCAATTCGCCCTTCCTCCTCACTTCCCTGGAGGGACATGATGTGCTGGTCGCATGGATCACTGACACAGGTCCAAATGTCCAGGTTGCCCTCGTGTCTGTCTTGCCAGGATGCTGGCTTTGTAGGGTGCCCTTACCTTTCTTGGGCACCTGGCCAACTCTAGTTCATGTGTTGCCTTTTTTGATGACTTCCCTGCCATCCCAACCAGTGACTCTTCTGTGTCACCTCTGTACTCTACTGGTTCTTCTGGTGCCACTGGACGCACCCTCATTTGAGCAGGGCCAAGTCCTCTGTCCCAGTGCCTCTCACCTAGGTAGCCCTGCCCTCTCCTGCCTCATCTCTTGCTCTGGCCTCTTAGCTGGGATCCCGGCCTTCAGATCCACCTTCTGTGCTGTTGTGCAGCCTAAAGCCGGCGTGCTGGACCCATGACTGCCCAGTGCTCACCTCTTCAACAGAAGAAATTTGCTTTTGAGGCAGAGCAGAGGAGGACTCTGAGTTATTGCTTGGCCCCCACTTTCTACAACAGCAAAGGCCCCCGCAGTTCCCTCTAGCAGGAATTCTAAATTCTGGGCTTCATTTCCCTGGCCTACAAAACACTGGGCAAAGTCAGCTGACACCAGCCTTGCCCTCGTTCCAGAGGCTCAGCCCACGAGGGAGGCTGGGACAGAGCTCACTCCTCCAACACCCTTGAAGATTCTCCAAACCTCTGAATCACATGGCTGGGCCAGATGTCCAGAAGGTTACATGGAATGGGCTGAGCAACCAGTGTCCAGACTTACAATCTGAGTTGTAATTTCTTATACGAATAGTTTCTTACCTCTGTTCATTGACCCAGAATTTGCTCTTCAAGCTGAAAGCCAAAATAAAACCATGCAATAAGTGCAAATGTGGCAGTTGTATTAATGTTTCTTCCCACACAGTCATTGGGGAGTCTCAGACTTTAGGGGTGTGTTTGCATTTTCTGGCATCTAGCTATTGTGGAAGGTGCCAGCCAGGGGGCCCAGCCCGAATCCTCACGCAGAAAGGGTTGAGGTCTCTCATGATTTGTCACCTCCTGCATGCAAGACTTTCTGAGTGGCCCTTTGGCCAGCCCACATGCCAGTCCAGTGTGGCCAGTCCAGGAAACATGGCAACCATCTTGTCAGTGGTGTGGAATGAGGGCTACAGCCCCCTTCTTACACCACGTGAAATGAGGTGCAGCAGTCACCTGCACACTGAGGATTCTCACTCCCTCCTCACCCCCGAATTTCAGGGAACAGAAGGTGACAGAAGGGAAGGGACAGATTCCAATCTGAGACCCCAGAATTCAAGGCTCCTGAACTGTCACTGCCATCAACCACCAAGCAAAAAATCTAAAATTCCACTGAGCAAATTTGCTGTGGAGAACAGAGTTCAGTGTGGCTACTGTTGGTTGAACTGTGGAATAAACTGCTTTTATCTGGGGGCTTGGGTGGCATTCTTGTTTTGCTAGCTGCCGGCTTGTTCTGCCGTCCTGGCAGCTGCTGTCCTCTGAGTCTTTGCTCCTAATGCAGGGGTCTGGGAGGGAAGTAACTGTAGGTCCTCCTTCCCAGGGGTGGGGTTGGACAGGAACAGCTGCAGAGCGGAACCAGTCACTGAGGGGTTCATGGGCATTTTCAAGGGCCTGGGTGACTACCTGGCCGCCCCTTGCTCAGCCCGGACACAGACACGATCCCGTCTGTCTGTCTGTCCTCTCCTTCCGTTTGCATCTTACTGTTCCTTCTTGCATCTTTTCCCTCTCCCTTTTACTTCCCCCCTCCTGACTCAGTCTCTCTTTTTCACCTGGTTAAAATGTAAGGATGCATTACTGAATAAACTCTGTGATTTTTAAAGCAATTTTTAAAAATAGTACCCAGGTTAAACTTTGACTGCTTGGAGCATGGAGACGAAACAAAAAATTAACCTTCGGTTGTGTTTTACTTGCATAAGTCACAATCGCTGTTCTGGGTAGATAGAGGCTCTCACATGAGAAGAAAGGAAACAGTCTACTGCCCTGATCATACATTAAGCCATGAGAGTGAGTTTCTTCCTGACAGTGGACAGTGATGTCCACAGGGAGCCGCAAGGGACAGCATCATGGGTCTCTCACCTGCTTCGTATGAGAGCAGGGTACGTTTTTACCAGGTAGTCGGAAAGGTTCCTGTTGGTCAGGTCCTGCAGGATGTCAGAGCTGTTCTGCGTTCTCTGAGGCAGAGAGACATGCACTCAGTTACTTGGAGTTTGTGAAACTGCTGTCTGCAAACATTGCTCGTGGCCCCAGCTGCTGGAAAATACTGACCAAGCACTGGCGTCCCCCTCGTTTCTACTTCATCTATGACCTCACTTCTCCCTCCGGCCCACTGGTAAGATCAGATGGCTTGGCTCCGACTCTCGCGACCTCAGCAAGGTCCACGCCATGTCATCTGCCCCACAGTCCACTCTCCACCCCGTGACCGACCAAGCTTCCAAGTTTCAACCATCTGCTTGGCCACCTTGCCTGCTGCTCTGCAGAAAGCCCCAGGATCCAAACCCGGCTCATTATCAAGGCTGCCTCCTTCCCCTCCCCCACCTGCCCCCCAGTTTCTCAGTGGCGCCCCCTACGCTTGGTGGTTCACTCTGCCTGACGCCCGCTCCCCTCAGGACCTCACAGCCCAATACCATCTATGCCACATGGGCATTTTTCATCTCCAGTCCCTCTCCACCATATGTATTATTGGATTATCTTTCTCTTGGGCAGTACTAGGGTTTGAACTTGTGAGGCAGTTGCTCTACCACTTGAGCCACGCTCCAGCACTTTTTGCTCTGGTTATGTTGGAGAAGGGGATCTCGATTTTTGCCTGGGTTGGCCTTGAACCGAGATCTTCCCTGATCACAGCCTCCTAAGTAGCTGAGATAATAGGTGTGAGCTATTGCATTATCTTCATAACTCCCATCTTGGCCCCAAATTTTCCTTTGGATGGATCTACTTACTGCTTCTGTTATTATCTGTACATTACTTCTGTGAGAGCAGGGACCTTCTCTGACTTGTTGGGGGGTCATGTCCCCAGCTCCCAGCTAGTGTCTCACAATTCACAAATCCCTTTCAAGATACACCTGGGACCCCAAGCTACTAAAGGATGGTGGAGAATTCAGAAGTGCATGGGTTTGGCCACCAGGTGGCAGTATTCACCTCGTATTTGGGAACACACAGCTTTGTGGTTCTTGTGCCACCCATTTGCTGACTATTTTTTGGTGGAACTGGGGTTTTGAACTCAGGGCCTCATGTTTGCTTAGGCAGGTGCTGTACCACTTGAGCCACAGCCTTTTTCTTTTTAGTTTTTTCAGATAGAGTCTCACGGTTTTTTTGCCCAGGACCAGCCTCAGACTGGGATCCTCCTACCTATGCCTCCCATGTAGCTGGGTTTATAGACATATATCACCACTCTCAGCTTGTTTGTTGAGATAGGGGTCTCACAGACTTTTTGCTCAGGCTGGCCTTGAACTGGGATCCTTCCAATCTCCACCTCCTGAGTAGCTGGGATTATAGATGGAAACCACCATGCCTGACTTTATCTTAGTCAATTTAATACACACAAAAAAGCATTCACTCTGCCAGGGTGCCACACAGAGAAAGCTGAGGGGACTTGGGGTGGCATTAACCCACCCATCACCAGACAGAATTCTTTTCTTCCTCATATTTTTTCCCCTTCCCTTCCCCATTTGGCTCCCTCAGCTGGTTGATGCTGAGACTGTTGTGAGAAGAGACATGAGGTTCACAAGTTTTAGCTGACACGGCAGGCGGTCAGCCTAGGACCGGACCTGCATCCGCTGGACTCCAGCTTTGCCGTGCTGCCCCCTGCTCCTCACGCTGACAGTGGCACAGGGGAGGTGGCAGGACTGGGACGTGCGGAGGCCGAGGTGCTTTGTGATAGCCTCTTCGTAAAACTCTCTCGGTAAAATCCTCCTGCTTATGTCCAGGTACACTGGCAGTCAGGGACCGGCAGCTCCACCTCAGGACCCGCCACCGTCGTGGGAGGTTAGAGACACCATCCCGTTTCCCAGACAGGACGACTTTCTACGTCTCAGTGAGGCCCGGGCCCTCTGCTTCCTCCAGGCTGGATGGAAAGTAGGCCGGTGCATGGTGAGCCGATGCGGACGTGCGTCTGTGTGTCTGTCTGTGTGCCTGTCTCTCTGTGCCTCTCTCTGTATGTGTGTGTCTGTATATGTGTCTCTCTGTGTGCATGTGTGTGTGACAGAGCAATGACTGTGCAGACGTGTGACACCCATTGGCTGAGGGAACACAGGAGGGGAAGGAAGGACCAGTGGCTGCTCTGCTGTTTCCGGGACTCTGGCTGCAGTGGCTTGTTAAGTTTGTTCCTAGTCACCCAGGACCAAGCTGCTGAAGACAAGTGTCAAGTTAGACAGGCAGCGTTGGTATCAGGGTCCACTGAGGGATGGAAGTGCCACATGGCTGGGCTCAGCCTCGTCTCCCTACGCGTGCATGGTCACAGCCTCTGGACCCGATGCTAGGCTGATTCGAGCAGCTGCACCCTGGAGGCTCTCAGCACTTGACTGCAAACCCGATAGAAGCAAAGCTCCTTTGGGGTCCAGAGAGCTGACACGAGCAGCGTGAGTCCTTTGGGGATCCTATGTACAACGGTGGAGCCATACTTGAAAGAGAGAAAATGTGGCTTGTGAATGACGGCATAGGCATTTAGAATACGAAAAAGGGAACCGTGGACAGATTCGTTCACAGCCAGCACGTGTGATGGTGGCCATGGCCACTTGAGTGCCCCAGTATCTGCTCTTCCGCTGTCATCAGGGCTTTCTTTTTGGGCACAGGCTGCCCAGAATAGACTCTAGCCACACAGAGCCCTGGCCAGTGACTGGATGGGGAAGAGCTCTGCTGTGGCTTCTGGAAACCTTCCTGTCACACACTTGGCACTTTGCTCTCTTTTTCTTCATTCTTCTGTTCTGCTGCCTGGAGTGCAGGCATTGCTGTCCTGGCTGGTGAGCCAGAGGCCTGTTTAGCACAGAGGAGTGGCCTCGACTGCCCACGGGAACTTTCACACAGGCCAGGAGCAAACTGTGTTCTAGCCACTGTTAGTGTAGGGTTGTCACTTGTGTGGAATTTAATCCCTAAATGATCCATTACCTGTGTTATTTCATGGAATGCTAAGAGTAAGTAGGCAAGGCCTGTGGGCTCTGAGGCCGCCCCAGGCCTCTCTGACCCCCTGCCCGTCTCTTCCCACTAGCACACTGTGCCTTGGGGAGTCTTCTCTCCTGTGCAAGCAGCTGGGAGCCGTTCCAACCAGGGACAACCTGAGGCTCCTCTGTTCTTTCCATTCTCTCTGAAAGCCCCGGGAGGGGCTGGCCGTGGTCCAGAGGGCAGGACTCCAGGAGAAGGCCCTGCTTAGAGCACTGTCAGGGTCACCGCTGCAGAAGATCCGCTGCTCCATGTGCGTGCACTTGGCAAATGCACGGCACGCGGTGAGCTGCTTTTCTCTTTTCGTGGTGCTGGGGGTGGAATGCAGGGCTTTGCATGTGCGGAACAAGGGTGCTACCACTGTCTACACCTGCAGCCCCACGACAGGCTTCTTAATTAAGGCTGTTAATAAGGGTTAAGTACACTAGCATTTGACTGTGTATCACGGTGTTATTTGTAATGGAGAAAAACTGAAAGCCCGGATGATCAACAGATGGGCGTTAGTTGAGCAATTTAAATGAAATCCAAACATGGGACAGTATGGGGCTGTTAAAATGATGCAGATGTATTGTTATGGACGTGGTTGTGTGTCTGTGATACATTGTTAAGTGAAGAGCAGGTTTCAAGTCAGTGCTTCAAATATAATTCTGTGTGGGTGGATGAGAAACAAATGTTTTCAGTTACTTCCAAGTGCTGATTTTCTTCCCCTGACTTACACGTGTTTACTAATTTCTCCATAACGAACGTATGAGGATGTATGACTCGTACAATTTTTAACTGCTTAAAAATCTTTCTTGCTAGGTTGAAGAGGAAGTGTTTTGGTCAGTGACTTCCTCCCCACGGCCACAGCAAGGCCCTTCGGAGGCACAGCCGACGGGCCCAGGGCCGTGTCTAGCCCCTTGCCCCCTGTCACTGTGGAACGTCCTCGGCCACAGTCTCTGGAGGTAGCCCGCAGCCCAATCCCCACCTGCAGGGAGAAGGCCCCTCGGTGCCCGTGGGGACGAGGTACCTGTGGTGGCGGGAGCCCCCCGGCACCCTCCGGGCACCCAGGCAGCATGATGAGTTTCTCTCTGGTGCTGCACCTGCAGGACGGTGAGGGGTTGGCTGGCGTCCACTTCTGCTTCTGCAACAGGTGGGTGATGTTTGGGGACACAGAGGGAGTCTTCCAGGGGGTTGAATTGCCACAGGGGTACTCCCTCGAGGAAAACAAGAAGGTATTTCCCAGTCAGTCCCCAAGCTGATGTTTAAATGTCGTCCCTTAGCAAGGAGAAATGGTGTCCAACCCTGAACTCCTGCTGAGAGCCATGATCCGTCTTCCCGTCCTTCTAGGGGTTAGTTTCTGCTCAAGAACTAAGTGTAGGATTCTGTCAACTGACCAGATATGCGGCTTGCATAACCTATTTTTTTTTTTTTGGATCTAGCAGCTCTAGCTGTTAAGGCATGGAACAAAGAAAACGGGAATTTGAAATTAATCTACTTTGGTCCTTATCTATAGCTTTGGAAAGAGTGAATGGAGATGAAGCTAGAACTTTCTGCACCTGTGATTCCTGGTGGATGTCAGTCCTCTGCAGCTCCCTTCCCTCTACCGATAACAATAACTGGAGCTGGCCGTTTGAGGTCCAGTTATCCAAGAGCAGCCCTCCCTCCCCTCCACCCCTGCTCAGATGCCTTTCCAAGGACTTCTGGGCAATCAAGTGAGACCTCAATGGAGAGTCCTAAGTTGAGAACTAGAGTTTTCCATGATGGGAGCTTGGGGCGAGGGCAGGGAGCTGCACATGCATCAGAGGAGAGGCTGGGGGAGTGGGGCTCAGAGAGATGGAAGAGAGCCAAGTAATGCTAACTGCACCCTGCCATCGGGGCTTCCCAGGGGGGCACAGGACTTACGGGAGCCACTCATCCTTCAGGCAGCGGTTACCAAAGCCAGGCCTGTTCAGGAGGACGTCTGCCAGCACCGCGAGGTGCTCACTGCCCGGCTTGTCCATGCTAGAGGGAGGGAGTGAGAGAGGCTCACCTGGTGGCCACATGGCGGGATCAGAGGGACAAAGCAGTCCATATGCAACTCACCTGCATTCAGGCACTCACACACACATGCACACACATGCAATTTAAGCACGAGTGTGACATGGAGGCCGCCTTAGAATGGTGGCAGGTCTCCTGAGAGCAGGCCAGGCTGCCACTCACTCCTAGAGGCCTGACGGCAGATACCCAGCATCTCTGTGACACTGAGCCTCATCCATGTCCCAAGCTTCACCTCCTCTTTCCAGAAGGTGGTGCCACGTTTCTAGGCAGGGGCAGCACACGGACTTCCCCTCTGATGGCCCAGGGAACGGGGAGGTCAGGGCCCTTCCACAAAGCTGGGGCCCAGGAGGCCCACACCACCACGGAGGATGACCTGGACGAATCTGCGTACCTGAAGAAGGTGTACTGCTGCCCGTACATCCAGGGGTGAAGGGTCAAAGCAGGATATTCACCAAAAGGAGGCACGAGGAGCGACAGCATCAGTGCCAGAAACACGAAGGTGGCCGGGAGCACGATCTGGGGAGAATAAACACAAGTGTGGGGGCTGAGGTCTGAGGAGTGATGACCACACGCAGGGCAGGCCACATGCACAAGCAAACACGTGTGCACACACACCTGCACACACTCATCAACAGCACACACACGCTCACGCGCATACATATGCATCCACTGCACACACGTGCACTGGTACACTTGCACACGCGCCTGCATGCACACACATGTGTGCACGCACACTCATTCTTACAATCATTTATCCTGCTGCCTCATAACCAGGCCTGTGGGGAAGGACGCACAGGACGCCAAGGGCGACACAGGTAGGAGGAAACAAGTTTCCTGTGGCCACTGACCAAGCTGAGAGTGGGCAGGTTAAAGGTCAGTTTACTACCCACGGCTCTCTGAACCAGTTTCTTTTTCCAGATGAAAAACATAAAAAGACAAACAAGGACATGACCTTGATACTTTGGGGCACTGCAAGAGCGACTGAAAACATAGCCTCGCTCTTCACAGTAAAAGAAAAAGCACCCTCGACACAGTCACTGCTGTTGTGTGCTCGGGCTAAGTGAGGTCCCACACTTACAAGGCAGGTGGTGTCACCCAGAATCATAAAGGTTTGGCAGAGGGAGAAAAGCGGACAGGATTTGAAGTGAGCTCTGGGCTGAGCTTGAACACATGAGGGGGCATGCAGGACGGTGAGGAGTGAGGGTGGTCAGCTCAGGAGCAGTGTGGGGGTACCTGGGCCAGGAAGTCCTTGTGGCTGCGGACGGCGTGGTGGAACCGCTTGACCAGCAGCGCCTGCACGTGCTGTAGGACTAGCCGCACCCCGGTGTTGAGGGGGGAGCCGGGCTCCTTGGGTTCCAGGGAAGGGTGGCCCTCGGGGGGAGTGGCCTGCTCCCGGGAGCCCTGGGCCGGCTGCCCCACCTTCTTGCTGGGACCCAAACAGGGGTGTCCTAGGCTGACGGGCTCCATTTTCTGCTGAGTGCCACCTGTTTGGGGAGATTGAATCCATCATTTGGAAAGACACATGTGTAAGACCTGGATCCTATGTGCCCTTCATTTAGAGCTGTGACAAAATGCCAGGCCATATAGGTAAGTGTTTTTTTTTTTTTTTTATTGAGACAGGGTCTTGCTATGTAGCCCACACTGCTCTTCAAACTAAATTCCTTCTTTAGCCTCCCAAATGCTGGGATTAAAGGTGTCCACTACCATGCCTGGAAAATAATCTTTTTGCTTATTTGATTTCCAGTGTGAAGTCTTTATAAAAGACTCCTCCCAAGATCACTTAAAAATTCTGTTAGCATTAAAGAGAACAGAATATCTGTGAAGGCATTGCCTTAGAAGTCTAAAACAAATAACTCTGTACAAAAAAATAAGGTGTAGAAGAATCTACATGTGTGATGGCTCCATATTCATATTAGAAAGTTCACATGTCAAATGAAAGCCAAGAACATCACACACACACACACACACACACACACACACACGCACACACACACATGGCTGCAAAGCTCTGAAGGAAACCTCACCCCCCATCAGCAGAGGCCCCCATGGGGAGGCCTGGAGATGTAAGGAGAATTTCAACCTTTTGGATGTTTGGATTTTTAAACCAAAAAGTGTATTCACTTATTACTTGTGTACTTAGTAAGATTAAAAACTTGAGTCAGCTTTCTGAATTCTTAGAGGGGTAGAAAGACTAGCCAAGAGCAGTTGGGATGTTTGGGTTTGAACCTGATCTTTATAAGATGCAAAAACTTGGGAAGGGGACTCCACCTGTCTGAATCTGATGCTGGCATCTGGAAACTGAAAATGAGAACGCACCACAGGGTGGCTCTGACGGTTGAGATGGCACATGTGGACGGGCTCCCTAAACCATGCAAGAGTCAGCCTTTGAAGCTGGAGGTCACCATCACTGACCGATGGGCCCTGAGAACATCTCTTGTGGACAGAGAGGGAGAGGGAGGCTAGGGGACAATGCTTGGTCCCCAGCTGCTCTCTTAACCCACCTCAAGTCATCCAGGACAAGAGTGGCTATGAAGGAAATTGGAATGGCTCAGTCACCTTTCATTCACGGGCTCCAGGCCTTGGACCTGGAGGCCCTGGTGACAGATAGCCAACCCCTGGGTAGAGAGGTTCTGCAAGTTCACCGACTGCCTGAAGCAGAGTCTCATGTCTTCGGCTTCTCTTTCCTGATGACCCAGATTTGATGTCTGCTGTGGTCACATCCCTGCTGCCTCTCCCTTTGCAGCTGACTCATCTTAATCTTCTGATGGCCCCCCTTGAGACTGGAGCCACTACCCCGGCTAGAGGCCGGAGCTATTCAGCATTGCAGGTGTGCCTGGCTTTCCGCTGCTCTTAGTGGTCCCTGGCTCTGATTACGACTTCCAGAAGTGGCAGTGATCTTCCCAGAGTCCAGCCATGTGTGACCCCAGTGGACATCTACAGTGACCATCAGACTCTGGAGGCAAGCTCAGAAAATGTCATCCTCATTAATACAGAAACCTTAAAGCGACAGAGGTCAACACGAGAAGGGGATCAGGAACCAGCGTAAAGATCAGGTAGAGGTGAATCAACCTGGGTTGTAACACATTTGTACATGGAAGCAATGCTAGGAGTCTCTCTGTATAGCTGTCCTTATCTCAACTAGCAGAAATGCTTTGTCTTTCTTATTATTGCTTATTTCTACTCTTCAACAGAACTGGAGAAAAGCACAGAACAGATTCTGCCTGGAAGTGGTGGGGTGGGGGGAGGGCGGGAGAGGGTGGGGTCGGAGGCAGGACAGAGAAATGGCCCAAACAATGTATGCACATGTGAATAAATGAATAAAAAAAAGAAAAAAAGAAAATGTCATTCCCTAAAACTGAGCTAATCCCAAACATCTGTGAGGTGGGAGGAGGTAAGAGTGAGCTGTCTGGGTCCCTAGCTTCGAGAGGAAAAGGCAGAAGCCGATGTAACTTTAGGCAAGTGGTCCACCCTTTGTGAGCTCAGCTCCCCAGAGGAGGCAGATCCATGCCTTACCTGTGTCGTGAGAGCACAGTGACAGTCAGAACACAAGGTGGATGTCAGGTACCTTGTCACAGGAAAAGGGCTACACAAGCCGGAGGTGAGCGTAGACTTGTGAACACGGAGGTGAGGCTGCTGCTGAGTCTTGATCAGTGACTGCACTGTTAGGACTCGGCGTGCATTATCTTATCCACTTCTCTTAATCACTCTAAAGGGTAGCTGACAGTATTATCCCCATTTTGCAGATGGGGAAACTGAGGCATGAGGCGTCTAACTACTTACCCAAAGCTACTCAGGTAGCAAGCTACAGAGCTCAGGTTTGATGTTTGGTCCGCTCACTCTAACGGTAAACTTTTTTCCCTTTAATTTTTGTGGTGCCACCTGCATGCCAGGTGAGGGCTCTACCACTGAGCTACATCCCCGCCTTAAGCTAAGCTCTAACCTCTAACCCTGACTGTCTCTGAAGGGCCTGTCCTATGCCTGTGTTGACCAAGCAGTCTTCAAGGCCTCATTTATTCTTCTGTCAGGACCTCATCACTAAAAGGTCTATTCTGTGCTCCCAAAGGGCCCCACTGTTGAGTCCAGCACAGGACTGGGTACAAACCAGGATATTTCCATTCTGGTCTGGGTAAACGTAAGTCTGACGTCGGGTGAGCTGAGAGAATTTGATTTCTCTGCCCCCAAAGAAAACTTGGGTCCCCGCACACTGCCGTGAAGCCTCTTTGGCCATCCCCTGGTCTCCACGGGGAGATTGGAGCACTATGGGGTATATTTAGCCACTGGTAGTCTGTGCATAGCTGGTGGATGCTTAGAATCACTCAGAAGCAAGGTGAAAACCATTTTATCTTCTGAGCTGGTGGCAGAATCCTCACAGGGAGGAAACAGTGCACAGAAAACGCCATGGCAGGGTAGGAGGAAGCAAGTAGAGGCACAGGTGGTGTCAGGGGCCCAGGAGCATGGGGGAGTCATTGCTCATCTTTGGCTGGGCAGAGGAGAGAGGACAGGGGACCAGTGTGGTGGATGCATCTGTTCTACCAGAAGAGCCCTGCGTGGTGGCAGACAGGTTACCCCTCCACACTTCCCCTCCCTGGTGACGTCTATGACACTCATGGTGCTTTGTGAGGCTGAGATTTGGTAGAAATCAAGGAAGGAGCCCAGGCTGACGTTTCAAAGACAGACTCCCAGAATCCACAGGAATTTTGGTCCTCACAGTTTCAAAGCCCGTAGTCTACTAACTGAGGGCTCAGAATGATTTTATCTTGATCCCCGAGGGGCCTGGAGACTCCAGTGGGCATCTGGGTTGTATTAACTGTCACCATTATCTCTAAGGACTCTGTTGACTCTCACTCACACAGACAGGAATGGGCCAGAGGCCTGGTGGAGACGAGCGAGTGGGGCTGAGGATGACGAGCAGGAGCGAGAGATTGGGGGTATTGGATGAGAAGTTTGGGGAGAAAGCAACCAGGATAAGATACCCCTGATTCACCCCACCCAGGCCAATCCAGCTTCTCATTCCTTTGTCATTCAAAGGCACCAAGAATGCAATTTGAGATCCCCATGCTATGAGGGAACACTTGACTACTTTGGCACTTTTCCTTTAGATTTTCAAGATAGAGCCACACATTCTGGCACCATACCAGCAAACAGAGATCCCGAATCAGAGTCCTCGGTGACCTTCAGGAAAATCTGTTGAGAAATAAAAAAGAGAGAATTTGATTTGCATTCCCACTCTCGGAGAAATCTAAACCGGATTCCATTTTGTTGGCTATTGCTTCATCATGACAGGAAAATATATTTTGACTCTAAGAACGTAATCTTTTATAAATGCAAATGTGAAAGCACACAGTGACCACAGCACATAGAATATGGATGCTTGCGTACAGAAGGAAGAGACGAAGATTCGTGGCTGTGCTTGGGGGAAATGGTGGCTTTTTGCTTTTGCAAAACTCTCAAGTGTTGGATGCTGGCAAGGAACACCTCTTCTGGCACTGGAATCTCTCCTTACCTCTTCCAGGGGAGTGTCAGAAATTCCAAAACTGCTGAGCCCCAGGTCAGCCAGCGTCTCTTCCAGCTCTCTGAAAAGGCTGGCGTAGGCTCTCTGCTTGAAATTCTTGTTGGGCAGAAGGAAGATGAGTTCCTGACCGATGCATTCCACCAGCTTTGCCTCTGGAACATGGTGGCAAACCACGTCCATCAGCTCACTCACATCCCCTACAATGAGACAAAAGACGGGTACCATCTCTCTTCTAGAACCTGGGACACTGAGATTACCCAGTTCTCCACTGGAGGAAAAGGGGCCTTTTAGTCACTTGCCACCAATTCTTTCAGAGAGCTGACACTTGTCAAGTCTGTTTCTAGCTTGGTTGGCATTACGGCAGGAGCAAAAGTGCTCCCCCCGACTCGTTGTACAACCTGACTGAGGTCATTTGATTGAACAAGTGTGCCCTTATTGTCTCAAGTCACCGTTATATGGAACACGTCCTACCCCTAGCAGTGCCCTTTTCAGATGTTGCGAGGACTGGGTGACCCCATACGCACAACACGGGAACCTGGTGCCAGCCTCAGACCTGCTTCAGACAGGTCCCCATACTGAGCGAAGGGTCCCCTCCCCAAATCACACACCCATGCCTGGTCTCACTTCTCGGAGAGTCCTAGCATTTCCCTATGGAGTGCACCTGCCCCTCAGCCACAGCAGAACTAAACACCAGCTCCCAAGCACCACGGAAGGAAGTCAAGAGGCCTCGGAGAGGGGCTGGGGGTGGGGAGGAGAGTGGGACAAGGAGCACGGGCAGGTGACAGGTACCAGGTCTTTCCCTGATACCCTCATGCAGTCGGATCCTATGTACAAGCAAATGTTGCTTTGAAATTAAAAACTGAACTTGAACAGCTGTTAGTATGAACCTGAAGAGGCATGTTATCCTAGGGACAGTCAAGGGAAAGGGATTGTGGGAATGACATGAGTCTTCCGGAAGCCATTCTTCTAGGGTCAGCCTCACCCCGTGGATTCTTTTCTTTCTTTCAGAGCTGACCCAGGTGGAGAGGGTTTCATAGTTTCAAGCAAGATGCCTCTGCTTGGTGGGACTGGAAGCTCTGTGGTGTGTCAAGCCTGGAACTCAACTCCATTGTCTTCACTTCTGGATGACTTCACACAGGGGCTGGGAGTTGTGCACTTGAGGAAGCAGCTCTGCCCTGGTAGCCCTGTAGGGTCACGTCCATTGTTCTCTTAGGAAGGAAATGGAACCTGAAGCCACTGGATTCCCAGGAATTGTGTCTTAGATGTGTGTCAGCCGTTTGGGCGTCTCCCTGTGTGGCAGGGAGGTCTGTGGGGGTGTGTGTGGTATGTGGGTCTGAGCGACTGAGAGCTGGTCAAAGAGCTAAGAGGAATTAAAATGATCTCTCCTTATTTGGGGCAGTACTATTTACTGCCCTTCCCACCATTCATCCCCCCCTTTTTTTTTTAAAGAAATAAAGCCACATTTAAGGCTAAAGGTGTAGCTCAAGTGGTGGAGTGCTGGAAGGCAAAAGACCCTGGGTTCAGTCCCCAGTATCACAAAAGAAAAGAAAGACAGGAAGGAAGGAAGGAAGGAAGGGAAGGGGGGAGGGAGAGAGGGAGGGAGGGAGAGAGAGAGGGAGGGAGAGAGGGAGGAAATAAAGACAGCTACATTAAAAAAAATGTCATCCCAGCCAAGCAGGCCTACCAATTTGATTTTGGTGGACCATAGTAATGAAACAAATTGGTGTTAATTGGTTTAAAAATACGAATTTCTTCGCCATGATTTGCAGTGAGAATTTTCAGAAAGCCAGAAGTGACGCACAAGCACTCCTTCCTAAGGAGACTTGTTATTCACCACAGGTCCTGTCCACACGCAGAGTGGGCAGGGGACACTGAGGGTAAAACTCTAGTATTTCCCCTGAGTTTTGAGCAAAACAAAATATGGTGCAGTTTTCTTGTTCTGCACGATTTCACTTTAGGTCCAGAAAGAAATTGTGTTACATAGGAATTGCTTTTTCTGTGATAAGCTGGTCTTTTCCTCCTGGGTCAGCACTAGGTTTAGTTTTGCTTCTTCATATGATTGTACGGTGTGGGGTGCACAGACACCCCCATGGGAGGCATGGAGAATGGACAGTTGTCACAGCTCAGGTCCTACAGATGAGTGATCTCTTGTACCTGGAGGTAGGGGCAGCCCATCCTGTGAATCAATGCACCCTAATCCAAAGGAGAATCAGTGAGAAATTGGGAGGTTGAGGGAAGAGGTAGGGGCCGTAGCAGTAGCAGTACACAGACGTGTGGTCTGTACACACAGTCTCAATCTCAGGCCTCCAAGTTCACCGTGAGACCTGTGTGTCACCATTGTCACACCAGAGGGCCTTGGCACACCTTGGAAGAGGCTCTCTTCAGACAGGATGGAGTGCTCCCTAGAGATGGGGCTGGAGGACCCCAGGGACAAAGGCTTAACAAGGACTGGATTCCTCATTAAAGGAAGAGGGTCCTGATTTTAGATGCACGACTTCTCAATCCCTTTGGGAATGGTGGAAGGGAGAAGGTAGCTCAAAGAAAACAATGAGCTATTGCATGACCTTGGGTCTGAGAAGAACTCCAGTGTCCTGGCTCCCGTTCAAGGGCGTCACAACAGGACAACCCAGCAACACCAGAAGATGGTGACAGAACTAGAACCAAGGTGTGTCCTGCCCCAGCCCTTACCATCCAAGACTTGCTCTGCAGAAATCTCATTGACTTGGGTTGGACACCTGAAGGAGAAACCCTTGGACGCACAACTGCAGGTCCCCTGCAAAAGATGGATGGGAGTGACCGACAAGGTACACATCACTTCAACGACAGCCTCTCCCCACGTTGACGCTGTCACCACTTGCTTTGTGCTGGTCACTGCTAAGTGCACCCACTTTTTTTTTCCTTCACTGTTTAATCTGTTCATTCATCTCAGCATTTTGAGGGGGGAAGACACTTGACCGAGTGTGAGTCAGGCACAGAGAGAAGCAGAACTTCAAAGGATCCCCTCGGTTTGTCCTTAATTAACCATGTGAGACAGACATTCTGCTCCTCCCCTCCCATAGATGCACACTGGGTTGTGAGAATCCACCCAGGACAGAAAGACCCCCACCACAGTCACTAACGCCGGAGGTGTAAGTAATGACACACGCTGCAATTTGACTGTCAGCAGTGCCTGATCCCAAGGAGCCCAGAGGACTTCTGTAAAACGTAACTCATCTATCTCCATCCTGAAGAGCAGAGCAGAGATATCAGTCCCTTCGTTTCCCATGTGGGGCAAACCGAGAGCAAGGAATTCAGTCAGTTGCCTGGGATGCCATCGTTTGTACACATGGTGTCCCAGACCTGAACCTGGGTCTGCTGTGGCACTGAGGGGTCTCTGTCCAGCAGCATTTTTTATACTTCATCATGTTAAATTACAAGGATGCTTTTCCTTAGATTTCATTTGCCACTGGAATTCGGGTTTAATGAGGGAACAAGAAGAATGGAACTTTCAGGAAGCCGTGTAAGCTTGCAGGGTGAGATACTTGCTTCCATGTGCACCAAGCCACACGTGGCATTTGAGACACTGGTGTGATCATTTTGTTTCGGGGGAAGCACGTTTGTTGGGGGAGGGCGTTCAGCATGTGTTTATTGAAGTCAGAGCTCCAGTGGGTACAGATGTCTCGGAGTGGCAGCCCGCCCTGAGTCCCTCCGCCCTGGACGGGCTCCTTCCTGGGCTCACACGTACCTCACAGCCGCATCTGTGGCTCTGAATATTTTTCATTTTTCGAACCAAGGTCAAGTAGAAGCCGGTGCCAAAGCAGTTCTTCAGGAAGAGCGGGGTGCCCGAGCAGTAGAGCCTTCCCTGGGAGATGATGGCAATGCGGTCCCCGAGCAGGTCAGCCTCATCCATGTGGTGAGTGGACATGATGATGGTTCTGCCTGCGGGGATGGGGACAGGGAACAGGGTGGTCACCAGGCACACCCTGGGCAGGGTGTGGTTGGTAGAGGATTATAGCAACCTCCCATGATTATGGTCACACAAACTGGGAGTTCATAAGTAAAAACAAAGCAGCAAATCGCATGAACAAAGACAACTGACATTTTGTAGCATCCTTTGTACTGCAGCGTGAATGAAGAACTGTGCACCCAGGACCCCTTCACCAGGCATGGGTCACTGTCTGCACCAGGGTTCCACACGTACACTCTCTGGGTCGTGCGGCACTGCACTCACACACCTTGTAAAGAGCACACAAGCACATTCTTGCTAACTGGGGGTGTCCATGAAGGAAAGCCGTAATGAAATTGGGGCGTAGCAGCCCTCTGCGAAAGGACAGTGTGGAAATTTCCAGCTTGCACAGGATGGAACCATGCTGTCACCCTTTCAGGTCTTCTGAGTGCTACCTGCTATGTCTTCTGGATCTGAGCCCTTTGGAAGGTGCTGGGATGGGTGGTAAAAGTCCCATTCCTAGACATTTCCATCTGTGGCGCTGGACACCTGGTGTGTTATCCTCAGACCTGGTCTTGAGTGGTCATCCTACAACTATGGATCATCCTGGGATGTTTGTAGGTGACACAAATATTTTTAGTCGGAGGGGAATTTCATCTAGAAATTTCACTGCTCCAGACTGAAGGGCTACAGGTGGAGAGAGCGTTCTAGAATGTTTTGGGAAGTAGGATGCCCTGTGATGTAAAAATCTCAGGAGGCTTTAACTGGGACTTGGGTTCACTGACCACGTCCTCTCTGAGTGTAGGAATGACGTTAGTGTACCCTGTCACAAAACGCCAGGCATGAGGAGGAGCCCACAGAGGACGCCTCGGACAGAGCCCAGGACACTGAGCAGTGACATCACCTGAGCGATATTTCAGCAGCAGGTCCCAGATGGAGCGCCTGGAGTAGGGGTCCACCCCAGAGGTGGGCTCATCCAGAACGACCACCTTGCAATCTCCCGCGAAGGCCAGGGCCACAGACAGCTTCCTCTGCATCCCACCTGCAGGCACAAGGAGGATGGGGGTCACGAAGAAAAAGCCCCAGGGCTGGGCACAAGGGTGGCATCTTAAATCCGGCGGTGGCTTGATATTGCCACCATCGTTGCTAATAGAGCTTTCAAGCCGCAGTGGCATTCAGGCTCATAAATGAGGAAAGCGACCCTGGCCTTTTGGACCTGGCTGTTTTAGTAACACAGTGACTTCCCTGTCTCTTTCCAGTACCAAGCACCTGAGAGGTCCTGGGCTTCTTCATTCCTCTTGTGGTGGAGGCCTGAGTCCTCTAACATACTCTCCATCTCCAGCTGGGCCTCCTCCCAGGACTTCCCTTTCAGCTGGGTGTAGAACAGGATGTGCTCGGCCACCGTGAGGCTACAAGGACAGGAAAAGCCGTGGGCACTTCTAGCAATTTCTCTTACAGAAATAAAGGCGAGAACGAGGATTCAGCAGTCAGGAGGTTCATGACTTCTGCGTAAGCACCTAACGAGAAGATGGCTAAGTAATTCACTCAAACAATGGAATAGCACGCAGACACTAAAAATTCCCGGGCAAAGGAATATGTAATGACAAAAAGATATTCACGATATCAGCTTGACAAAAAGCAATCATGGTTTTTAAAGAGTCATGTTTTTAAAAATCAGATGCATAGTTTATTCTTCTTATAGTTTTAAAGTATCCATGTCAATCTGTAACAGGAGAAAGTTCTAAAATGTTAACAGTGGTTTTCTCTGGATAGTGAAATTACTGGTGACTTCTTCTTTTTTGGCAGAACTGGGATTTGAACTCAGGGCCTCGTCCTTGCTAAGCATGCACTCTACCACTTAAGCCATGCTACCAGGCCTAGCTATCTTCCCTTCCTTCCTTCCTTCCTTTCTTCCTTCTAACAATGACTAGATTTGTAGATAAGAAATAAAAGATATTTTAATTGGAAAAAGGAAACTGAAATGTCAGTCCTTGGGGCCACGGTTTAAAATGGGAAAAAGAAACAAAGGCTGTCCTCTTTTGGATCCCCGACAGGAAGTCTTTCAGGGCTGAGAAGGGGCCTGAGATCTGCCACTCCGTCAGAGAGAAGGCGGGGGTCACTCTTCTGAGGGGGATCTTTGAGCACAGCCTCACTGCAAGCAGGATAAGGACCTTGAACCTGGAGGAGCCCAGACAAGAGCATCAACACCTGCGTCCAGACCAGACCCCTGAGTTGGTCTCTACAGCACACATGTGTGTGGGGGAATGGGTGAGGATAGGAGGAGAACATTTTCAGCAGACATTTTTTCCCCCGTGGTGCGGGGGGTGGAACCCAGGGCCTCACACATGCTAGGCAAGCCCTCTACCTCTGACCCACATCCTAGTCCAGGGACATCTCCTGTTTTACTTACTGGTGGAACAGGACGTTGTGTTGAGGACACATGCCAAGACTCTGCCGGACTTCATCCAGGTTGGTTTCAATGTCCTTTCCCCCGATGAGCACAGTCCCTGCTGTCGGTGGCAGCAGACCTGTGAGGATGGACCTGCCGAACACAGGATTGGTGGCAGAAGAGACAGCCTTTAGGGACACCAGGTGGGAGGGCAGCTCCCCACCAGGATCAGTAAGGACTCTCACAGTGACCCCTGCCTGTACCCAACTCAACCATCATTCCCAGACAGGGCTCTGCACCCGGGTGTACATTCAGGACCTGAAGCAGAGGACCACGCCTGCCTTCCTTCTCTGTTTCTGTTTATTTCCTGATGCTCTCAGGCTAGCACTGATGGGACTTTGGGATGCCCAGGTACACAGTGGTCATTTGTTCCCACAGGGGTCCCTCAGTCCGACGTCACACTACCTGGTGCTAAGAGGCTCAATTAAAGATGATGGCTCACTGTGTTGCCTGCTGGAGAGCACTCATGGATGTTGAAAAGCCAGGTGTCCCCATTCCAAAGTGCAGGTAAGTCCCTGACCATGGTGGGGAACCTGAACGCACTAGGTGTTCAATATGTCTCTGTTGAACCGTTGACTCCAGGCAAGTACGGGGATTACCACAAAAAATATCATCTTTGGATCCAAAGCATAAAAGTACCAATAGCAACACAATGGTTCTTTTTGTAAAACCAGAAATAATGGCTCCCACCTGCTTGGGTGGTCGTGTGGATGAAGTGAGTTAGTATATGTAATCCACTTAGTTTGATTTTTTTTGGGTGGTGGGTGGGTTTGAACTCAGGGCCTCACGCTTGCTAGGAAGGTACTCCACCACTTGAGCCATTTGGCCAGGCCACCTGAAATGCACTTAGAAGGGCAGTGGTGTAGCAGGAACCCCAAAACTATTCCTAGCATTCTTATTAAAGATTGTGTCTCCGCCCCTCCCCCCAGGGGAAGTGGCATTTCTACAGCAATTGATGAAGTAATGTGTTTGCCTCTGGGAAGTCCTGGGGTCCTGGATGGGGCTTCCAGTTCTCTGAAGTTAGCAAGGAGGTCGACCCAGAGCCACCACACCCAGCCCCATCCCTGAGCGCTGATAAAATCTGTTGATTAACCACTAGAGGGAAACAGAGCCAAACAGAAAGGCGCGGGTCCTGCATTCCACACCCACAGAGCGGCCAAGAGGCATTCCAAAGCAGGGCGTGCACTGCTGTTCCTTCCTGGGGCCTTGCGAGGAGCCAAGGACTGCTGTCACATGTGTTGTTGTCCCCTGAGAGATCTGCATGGGAACCTTGGCGACGTGTTCTCCCTGGCAGATGGCACCGGGGCCCCTTTGAGGAGTATGGGAGTCCCTTCTCCTCCCAGGAGCTGAGAGGCCCTTGTAGGCCCTTGCATCTTCTCTGAACTTGGCCTTCAGGTGCCAGGGACCCCAGTGGCCCCTCTAAAGACTGCATTCTTTGTGCTTTTTCAGAACTGTGACCAACCCTCATCAAGGGTCCCTAACCTGGTAGCTGGTAGGAAAATGAGTGTTTCTTAAAAAATAGCAATGCCATACAGACCTGGGGGCATTGGCCAGGGCTTTATCCCCACTGTGGATAGTAGTAAGGCTAGTGGGATGGGGGAAGAAACTGAAGAGGCCATTGGGGAGGTGAGGGCCTGGCTTGTGGCACCCACTGAATCACTAACGGCAGTGGCTTCAGGAAAGTCACTTAAACTCTTGGAATGCCCACTTCCCTGGCACAAAAAATTCACTCCTCATCCCTTTCATTGCTTCTTGTGAAGATCAGATAAAACAATTCATATGAGTTTCCATACTGTAGTATGCTTCACAAACTCTTGGGACCATAAGTATGTGTTTTGTCACAGAAATTCTGTGGAGACTGAATTCAGGAGACTGGAGAGAGTGGCAAGAAGGAAGCCAGGAAATGACAGGCCACCACGATGCTGAAAGACTTACAAGGTGGTGGTTTTCCCCGCCCCATTGTGACCGAGAAATGCAGTGATCTGGTTCTCGTAGAAGGTGATGTTCAGATGGTCCACGGCTGGCCGGCTACCGGGCTCAAAAATCTTCACCAGGTTCTTCACACACACCCCAGGAACCAGCCCCGGAAGCTCACGTTCGAAGAAAGAGTCTGGGAGGAAAAGACACACGTATAAATACAGCGTGTTTCTTCACGCGTGTTTTCCCAGTTCTTTCTCAGGACCCATGTCTTCTGCCTGTAATTCCACCTGACCCAGCGTGGCCAGGAGGTAGTAATCGTATTGAACACCGACTGTGCCAGGGCTGTGTCAAGTCCTCCCGCCAAGTGCCTCATCACACCCTTCTGTAGTAAGGGAACCCAGATAGAGAGTCACCAAGTGTCCTATTGATGTCATCTGGCTCATGAGTGGCAGAGGTGGGATTTGAACCCAGGGCCCATGTCTTCTAAACCACTCACTGTTAACACATAGACTTAGTCCCAAACTCCACCTCAGTCAAAAGCCCTTCTTTCCAACAGTCTGTGGGATTCCTCGTGGGTTTCTGGAAGCAACTCAGGCTCTTCCTCTTCTTCCTTAAACATCATTTTCCTTCTGACCCCTGTGCCCATTCCTGGGACCACCACTTTCCCAGTCAACCTTGGCACACATGTTTGACTACAGATGACTTCTTCCTTCTCTGAACTCTGGGATGGTTTACTCATCCCTGCTCCTGGGGCCCCATCCTGCCTTTCTGTCCCCTCCAGGGCAGACTCTTATTATACGTTCCACTGCCCCCTGCCCCCAGCTGCCCCTTTCTCCAGCTCACATTCTATAGCACGGCTTAACTTGTCTGAATATGTAATTCTAAACATTTGCTCCCCGCAAAAAAAAAATCTCATTGCTTGTCTACTTGTGCCTCCTGGTCTCAACTGTAGTTGACATGGGACTAGTCTCCCCAGTCCCCTGCTTTGGGGGTACATGGAGGCTAAGTCACAGGCCCCAATCCACAAAGAAATGCATGTGCTTAGGGGTGAGGAAGCCAGAGCTGGTTCAAGAAGGAAGGCAGCCGCAGAAGCCAGGGATGCCAGTCCCACTTGTCAGGAGTGACCCGGCAAATCTGCTGTCAGGAAAACTTTTGAGTGAATGGCTTGTGGATCTGTAAGCCAGGAGCAAAGGGCCCTCGTCTCTGCTGGACTCCGTCCCCTGCACACAGAAGCATTTATTTCTGTCTTCCCTCCTAGCTCATGTCCGCTTTAGGTCAAGTCATTGTTCTGAATAAATCCTCGGAAGTCAGCACATTTGTGGACTCCACTTGGGGCTTCCCGAGGGCACAAACACCCTGCATGCTTAGGGTTTGCTTTCTCCAGGAAGCATGTTCATGTCTGGGCTGGGCTATCATGTTCCCCTGTGTGCAGCTGGACATCACTTAACACCGTCACCAGGGGGTGTCAGGTTCCTGGGCGTTGCTTTGCCCCCCCAGGAGGCATTTTTCTCTGGCCCTCCAAAGGGTTCACAGCCTTGCCTTGCCTCTGCTTTGCTACTTTGGGGTTTTACCATTTGTTCCCCCTGGGTGCTCTGGATCCTCCATTTCCTCTGTCAGGGGTTCTGTCTTTTCCAGGGCCCTCTCTTCTCTGGTCGAACACCCTGCACCAACCAGAAGACAATGTTATTTCCCAGTGACAGCTGAGCACCAGCAGAGGCAGGAAAGGAAGGGAGAAGTGGGGGAGCAGAGGAGTTTCCCACCACGGGAAGGCAGCTCCCCCAGAGGGCCAAGCCAGCATTCCTGGTGAGATCAGCCTCCTGCATGGCCTCCGGACTTGACCTGCTGCCTGGCTGAGAAGTGCTCAACCCAATCTTTGTCTTTGCCAAGCCCAGAGGGAGTTTTGTAACTGGAGCCTTGGAGTTGGGGAGTTTTACTTTGCTTTCACTTTTTTCTTTTTTTTTTTTGTGGTGCTGGAGATCCAGCCCATGGTCTGGTGCATGCTAAGCAAGTGTGTTACCACTGAGCTGCACTTCCAGCCCTCACCTCCTCCCTGGTCCAAAACATGTCAGCTCTGGTGACCCTGGAGTAAAAGTTTGTTCAAGGTGACATCATGTGCAACCAACATAAATTAGGGTTTGAGAAATGACTCCCCTGAGAAAGCCATTCTTAGGATGGAGCCTGGGGGTGGAGGGGCTGTAAGCCTGGACAGTGTTAAGTGTGGTATGTACAATACACATACAGCATACATACACATACACAACACACACACACAACACAACACATGTACAAACACACAGACGTTTTTACGTCTTTTGTAAGCTTGGCATTTGGTCTGAAAGGACACCAGGACATCCTGGAAGGGAAAAAGGAGCAGAAGGGCCATCCAGCCAGAGAGGAAGCAGGGGCAGGAGGAAGCCACAGCCCCACGTCCCTCGGGAACCTCAAGGGTAGGTGCCTAAAGTCAGCAGCCAGCCAGGGCTTGTAGATTTGCAGGCTGTGTGGGAGAGGCATGGTAGACAAAGCATTGCCATCCGCAGTGTTCTAAATTTGAGTCGATTCTCCATCATCCCCATGGTCACCTTCCGAGCTGTCACACTCCAGATTTTATCCCCAGTGACCAATGGGGATTTGTGCAAGATACCGATGTCCCTCAGGCTGGGTTCTTCATCGTGAGAGGAGGGGCTGGGGGAGACACTCAGCTGTGTTCTGATTTTAGACAGTGGGAGGGATCTAATTCTGTCTAGCCTGTGAGACAGGTAGAAAGTATTTGACTTCAGTCTGCAAAAGTCAACATGATTCACTTTTGAAGGAGCACACTTGTCTCACTTTTTTTTTTTTTTTCTCCCTTAAGCATCAGAGAATCTCTTGGAATCATGGAGGGGAAAAAATGTCCACAAGTCCTGGTATTGACTGCCATTAGAACATGCTCCTGTGTCAAAAATGCCTGCTGATGGTAGGATTATAACTTGAACATGATGCAAAAACACTGAAGTGCTGTTTGTTTGGACCACTAGAGGAAGTGGGGAGAAGGAGGAGGAGGAACACCAAAAAAAACAAGACAAAAAAAACCCTACCCAAGCCTTTTAAAGGCCCTAGACTAATCCCCTGGAGAAAACAAACATCTACCTCAGTGCTTAAGGGTAAGTCCTGGCCAGGCCCAGAAATTCAAAGTCAAGTGCAGATAGTGAACAACCGACAGTGCAAGTGTTTCCTCTGCATGCAGAACCTCCAGCTGGGACTCCAGAATGTCTGACCTCTCAGAACTCTCGGGAGTCTGCTTTTCTTGACATCTACAACTTTCTCTAGATCTCCTGTTTTGTTCCAGAGGGAAGGTAAATTTTGTCTAAGGTGCATCAAGGGCAAATGTCATTTTAGCCTTCTTCCCCAACCACAAAGAAGGTCAACACCAGGAGATCCTGGGAGACCCAACAGTGTGGGTGGCCTGCCTCAGCCTCCTCTTGGGAAGATGGATTAGTTTATACTTTGAAAAGGTAGAGAGGGTAAAGGGAGAAGGGAGGCAAGTTTTCCTTCATGATTCCTGGAATCCCTGCTTTACACTGAAACATTGGAAAAGCCATTTGACCGCTGAAATGGTGTGGCCTTCTTTTAATTGGGCATTTAATCCATCTTTTAATTGGGCATTTAATCCACTGGACAAGATGTCAGTTCTCAACCATTCATCCTGCCCCGCTACTCACAAAAATGGGCTTGAGCAGGCTGTTCCCTGGGTGGCAGAGCTCCCAGCAGACTGCTGACTTGTCAGGAATCACGCCCTTGATATAAGGCCATCTTAACAACCCCACGCATCCTGCACATAGTCCAAGGAGCTAGTTCCCAACATTAAGGGGTTTTTGTTTTAATTTTTAAATAACTCACCTTCACCACCAAGCCAGTAAGACTCTTGGAGAAGGAAGTACCAAGGAAGTGGAGTTCCATAGTCTCCTAGACAGAGGAAGACAGATTTAGAGGACAAGCTTAAGCAGTGCTCTCCTCCCACCATACCACAGGTCTGTGAGATCTAGAATTCACCTAGCTGAGCCTCGAATTGTAACTCCAGTGTTTCTGTTCACAAACCATTACGTAGCCTTCTCCTGTACTGTATGTACTCGTTCTCATAGGTTTTCACCTGAAAGCTCATGTTTTTGGGTGCTACCAGAAACACTTAGCGGACATTACTTTTCCAAGAAATAAATTTTATTAAAAAAAATTAAATCATGTCCTTCCTCAGGAGTTACCAGGTAACAGTGAAGATCATAATCACTAACATTTGTTGGATACACTTTCTGTGTGTTAAATCCTGAAAACAACACTGGGAATAGGCAGAAATACTCTTGTGGACACAGAAACCGATGCTCACCAAGTCTGAGCCATCACCCCAGGTCATGGCTAATTAAGGGAAAATGCAGAACTTCCAACTCAGATAACCTGGTTCCAGTGCCACCTTTCTCAACCCCCATTCTATCGCATCCAGCTGTGTTTCAAGAAGATTCCCGACTTCCAATCTTTGCAAGGTCCCTACAAAATGTCAGCTTTATAAAAGTGCTGTTTTTGCTTTCTCAACAGCTATGACTTCTTCAAGGGAAGACCTGGCTCTGTTCTGTTTGGTTTTGTTTTCACCCTAGGCCTTATGTGTAAGAGACACACTACAACCCCAGCCCTGGGCCCATCTTTTCTACCCCTTGATTTCCAGAACCTGGTCCTGCTGAGCCTCACACTTAGGTGCTTAGTAAACAGTTGTTGACCAAATAAAAGCTTTAGTTTGATTTATGCAAAAACTTCTATTCCAATCCAACAGATTTTCACATATGAAATATCTTTCTAATGGCACAGGGAGGTACAAAGAAACAGGCTGGGCAACTCCAAGTGTCTTGCTCAGGTCACTGTCATGGGTTGGATTGTGACCCTCTCCCAGAAGACATGTTGGGGTCAGTGGAATATTACAAAATACACTTGCTCTCTGTTCCCAGTTCCTGTGCAGGGCAAGAGCTCTTAAAAGCCTTGAAATTGCCTGACTGATAGGAGCATTTTTTTCTTTTCTTTTTCTTTCTTTTTAAAATTATTCACAATTAGCTCTTTTTCTCTCTGCCCCTGAGTAAGTGTTTATGAGATGATTCAGGGTTGGGACCCCAATGTCTTGGGAATTGATCGCCAGAAAGACCAAAGATGTGAAGAGAGGAACTTTTTGCTCAAACTCTGACCTTCAGGGAAGAGAAGGGGCTGGATGGTGGGTTATAAAATCTCATAAACAGGGCTGGCAGAGTGTCTCAAGTAGTAGAGTGCCTGCCTAGCAAGTGTGAGGCCCTGAGTTCAAACCCCAGTACCACTGAAAAACAAACAAACAAAAAAAACTGATGAAGAGCCTGGCTCAGTGGCTCTCACCTGTAATTCTAGCTACTTGGGAGGCTGAGATCAGAGGATCAAGGCCAGCCTGGGCAAATAGTTCATAAGATCTCATCTCCAAAATAACCAGAGCAAAATGGACTGGAGGTGTGGCTCAAGTGCAAAGCTCTGTGTCCAAACCCCCGTCCCACCAAAACAACAACAACTTGTGAACAGGATTTGGGGAGCTTGCAGTTGGCAAACACATTTTGGTCCTGGCCCCAAGATGGTGTGGAGGCTGCAGACCGCCCACCCCTGTCACCCCTGTGCCTTGCCCCCTGCATCTCTCCCATGGGACTGTTCCTGAGTCATATCCTTTCCTATAAAGCCCTGATTTTGAAAGCAGACCATTTGGCTAAAGCGAGGGCAGTCTGGGCACCACTGTTTCTACGTTAATTCTGGCTGCTCTCAGAATTGAATGCAGGGGTTGGTGACAGAGAACTGGTTAGTGTCCAAAACAAACACACATTGGTGTCAGAGCAGTCAGGAAAAAAGACACTACAGTTGCACCCCAGGTATGTGGGAATGTGGTCGTGTTTGAATTAAGTCACCACAGTGCTCTTATCATGAGATGCGGTCACACTGGAGTCAGGTGGGTCCCTAATCCAATATGACTATTGTTCTCACAAGAAGACGGACAGGTAAAGACAGACACACATAGGGAAGACACCATGCACGCTGGAGGAGTAGTGGATGCACAAACCGGATTACCAAAATCCTCCAGAAGCCAGGCTAAGGAGGGAAGCAACCCTCCTTACAGGTTTCAGAGAGGATGGGACCGCTGACACCTTGATTTGGGATTTGTAGCCTTTGGACCAGTGAGGTACAGATTACTCCCCTTTCTTTTTTTTTTTTTTTTTGAGACAGGTCTTGCTGTGGCGCCCAGGCTGGCTTTGAACTCTTGATTCTTCTGATCTCACCTCCCAAGTGCTGGGATGGCAAGAGGTCATCCCAGCATAGACTGCTATTGCTTTAAGTCATTCAGTGTGTGGAACTTTGTTCGAGCAACTCTAGGGAACTCATACTTACACAGCTAACACCCAAACCCAGGCCTCTGGACTCAGCCTTGCCATCTTTCTCGTATTCAGGGTTGCTGCCTGCTTATTTCTGAGAGCTATGAGTTTGCCCCTCCCCAGGCACAAGGCCCAGCCTCCGTTTCCCCTGCTTGCTCTTGGTTACAATATCAAAAGCCAGGCCCAGAGGCCATAGCACAAGGGGGCTGACATGGATGCCACTCAAATGAAGACGGGACTTCTCTAGCTATGGGGAATGACAATTTGAAAGAAAATCTGATTTCCTATAAAGCAATCTCAAAGCTGTGTGAGCAGCCAATTTTAAATCCCTGGTGCAGATTAATTAAATATTTATTCAGTGTTCACTAAACGTCAGGCACTATGCTGGGTAAGGGACTGGCACAGTGAATGAAGTAGACCATGTGCCTGATCTCGTGGGCTCATCTTCTGCCATGCCTGGGGAGTCAATGAACACAGACATAAAGATCCATCATGTAGGTGGTGACAAGTGTTTCCAGCACTAAAGTAGGATAGGGGACAGGAGCACCACAGGAATGTTGTTTATCTCTAGGCTTCGTAGTCTGGAAAGATCCCTGAGATAAGGTGACATTTAAACAGAGTGAGGAAGCATGCCTGAAGCCATGGGGTGTGGGGTGTAGAGAAACAAGGTCCTGCCGTGAGAACAGCCTGCAGAGGAGGTGCTCTCAGGGTGTTGAACACAGTACACCATGTGGCCAGAGCAGAGGAGCATGGGGGAGAAGGGAGGGAAGAAGGAAGATGGTTGGAGGCAGATAACAAAGCATTTGGTGGGCCAGGGTTGGGGCATGGAGTTCTAGTCTGAATGAGAGGAACGTGACCGGGAGGGCTGACACCACCTGGGCTGTAGAAAGATCAGTCTGAATCCAGTGTGGTCAACACCTTCACAGCAGGTGATGGTGGAGGGGGTGAGGACTGGGAAGGTGGCAGGGGTGGCGGCAGGGAGCAGAAGTTGCTGGTGGATTTTTTTACTCGTGTTCAAAGAGCTCGGCGGGGAATGAAGTTTAAGCTAGATGGAGAATCTAGCTACCTTTCCCTTGGAGAAGGGACACTCACCTGGAAATACCTGGTCAAGGTACCAGGCAAGCAGGCCGTACAGAGCAGCATCCAGAAGCATCATCTTGATGGACAGCAGGAAGCTGAACTCGTCCCCTTCCATGGGGCTGCTGGCAATGCTGTCCCATTGCAGCCCCAGGCCTTGCTCCTCGAAGCGGACCAGGTATTCAGTGCCAAACCCAAAGGCCACAGGGGACAGGAGGCTCTGCCATGGGCAGGAGGGCCAAGAAGACAACCAGGGGGTCTTTTATATGACCACTCAGGAAGGGTTAAGGTGGGCTTCTCATTGAAAGAGAATTCTGGGATGGTCTCTCAGGCCTCAGAGACTCCTGCCCAATATCCACGGGCCCACCTCTCACCTGCTCAGTGGGACATGGTTGGGTTGCAGTGTGATAGGGAGGACAAATGGCATGGAGCATAGAACTCCAAAGGCCCACATGGCCTCACCTGCTCCTTCTTACCTTTCCCTGTCTTCCTCCTAGTTTCAGTTCCTGTGGTTCTGACTATAACAAAGATACTAACTTGAGCTGCTTTGGAAAACTCCCACTGGAAGGTCCCTCAAAAATGTCTGCTTCCCAGGGCAAGCTAGGAGGCCCCAAGGTCTGTCAGAAAGGTTAGAAAAATGCCAGATTACATGGACCACCACCTTTCCCTTCTCCACACTAGGGACAATCATTGTCTTAGGTTCTCTCACAGAGAACGAGTTGACTAAATGGTGGAGTACAGAAGGAAGTCTGGAAGGAAGTTCCCTAGCCATGTCCCCATGGGTGGTCCCTGTCATGTTAGAAAGCACACAGCCTTCTGTGGACAGAGTTGCCTTTCCTCCTTCCTTGCTCAGCAGTCTCCCTGTAGTTGGGAGGATCCTGCATGGAGTTGAGTGTCTGTCTGCAAAATGAAGAAATCCTCTAGCTCTGTGTTCACACAGTTTCTAGAACCCTAGCCTCTGGGAGAGCCATACTCCAGAGAATTTTGCTGTGGTCTCTGAGAACTAACTGGCTGACACAGATTACCAAAATACCCACAGGCTGAGTCACAAGGACTTCTTACCACTGCCCATTGTGAAAACTGGGTACTATAAATGGCAGCAATTAACTTCTTATTTAACATGGGGACTAAGAGGCAGATGGATGCCCAGGCAGCTCTGGAGCCAAAGAGGGTTCTTCTATCACGGAAGCCTGCGGTAGTCCCTTCCACTGGACAGCACGGAGATGGGGAGGACAAGGGAAACTGTCCCCTCTGGGGCTAAGGCTGATCAGCTTGACTAATGAGAGGGTGAAATGGTCCATTTAAAAACTGGCAGAGAAAACACCAACGTTAGCTTGAGAGAGCCTCTGGGGTCTCTCAGACCATCAAAGTCAGTTTCTGGAGTCTTTTCCTGGCCAGAGAGCCTAACTCTGTGGGTTCATTTCTACACCCCTTTTGTATGCACTGGTAGAGCCTGTTAAAGATACCGTAGCATGGCTCTGATCCAGATTCTTTTGGAGCAGAAAAAAAACCCCCTAAAAACAAACTTTTAATTAATGCAAACATCTTTCCATACAGACAGTCAGGGGACAGAAGCACAGGCTCCCTTCCTTCTGATTCTTCTCAGACAGAAAAGAAGGTGACTGAAATGGGCTGACTCGTTCTTTCCTCATGCACAAACGGGGCTGAACTGGTTTTCCATGACTTCCCAGCAGGCTTAGTGAGGAGTAACTGGCTGCTCAGGGTGGAGACTGCTCCCACCCTCACCCTTGCACCTTTGAGCTCCACATTAACCTTTGAGCCTATGTCCAAAAGGCAAAGTGGACCCTCCCAGAGAGCGAGCCAGGCTGCCATAGACCCTCCAGAGGTAGTGGGGGGCAGGCTATGGGGGAGCCCTGGTCCTCACCACTGCTTTCTTCAGATCAGCCGTCATTCGGTCCTGCCAGGCAAAGCACAGGACATGTGGCAGGTAGAGAGTGAAGTAGATGACTCCACTGCAGGCTGCGGCCAGGCTGGCCTTGGAGAAGAAAGTGCTGAGCAGGAAGCACTGCGTGATGGTGGCCGTGGAGAACGCCAACAGGAAGAGGAAGAGGATGAGAGGGTCGCTGTAATGCAGGATCCTCCCGTGCTGAAACCAGAGACCATGCCTCAGTAACTCTCACCCGTGCACAGGGACGTGGTCCCACTCAGTGGGTGACATGTGGCTCCCTGCAGCGCTCTGCCCTAGTGGGATCTCTCCCATCACCCTGGTTCAGTGCACACTCAGTGGACTGAGTTCCTTTAATTTTACACACGCCATTTTCCCTGGAACGGGTAACGCACTAAGCTGTCTATTGGTCATTAGTGATGTTTTTAAAAATTAACTGGGAGACCAGTAGGCCAACCAGCTCTGGTGACCTGGGTTCCAACCTAAGCAAACTGAAACCCTAACTTAGCCCATCAGAATTTTCCAAGTGACCTCTTAGTAGGGACCTTGAGCAATCAAATATTTTTCTTCACTTGCTCCCCTGCTTCTTAAGTGGAGCCCTGAACCACTTGTGGTCTAGAATTGTCTACTATATGAACCATGGTTTAATCAAAATTTGAAAGGTTTTAATGGGCGTAAGTTTATTGGTTTTTTTTTTTTTCATGTGTGTGTGTGTGGTACCAGAATTTGAACTCAGGGTCTCACACTTCCTAGGCAGACACTTGCTGTACCACTAGAGCCCCCAGCCTTTTCTTTGCTTTGGCCATTTTTTTCAGATAGGATTTCACATTTTTGCCTAGGGTCACCCATGGACTCCAGTCCTCCTACAAATGCCTCCTGTGTATTTGGGAATGACGGGCATGCAAAACCATACCCAGCTTTTGCTGAGATGAGGTCTCGCTAACTTTTTGCCCAGGTTGGCCTTGAACTGTGATCCTTATGATCTTTACCTCCAGAGTAGCTTGGATTACAGCCACTCTGTGCACCGCCATTCCCAGCCTTAAGTTTACCTTTAACAGTAATGGTCATGAGTGAGGTAAGCAAGTCCATGGTGGAAAGGAGATAGTGTGGACAAATTTGTTTAGAGCAAGGTGGGGGGACTGGGGTACGTGGCCTTGGACATCAACAGCACCCTGGAACAGAGGCGGGGAGAGGGGACCACTCAAAACAACATCGTCCCGGCCTCCCATACTGAAGATTGAACTAAGGGTCCTGTACCACTTGAACTTCACCGCCAGTCTTTCTGCCTTTACTTGTTTTCTCATGCTTGTGCCAGGGCTGGCCTCGGATGGTGGCCCTCCGCCTCTGTTTCCTGAGCAGCTGGCATGATGGACATGTGCCACCACAGCAGGCCACAAGCTTCACACTTTGCTTGGGACTTGGCCTGCTGACTAGATCATCTGTGCTTGTATTCTGAGGTTTGCCATTCACACAGGTGAAACTATCAGTAGTGAGTCCGGATCACTTGGAAGAGGATGCGTCTACCCCATCTGTGAACACCTTACAAATACTTTCCTTAGAACCTGTGCACGGTACTCAGTACCTTTCATGTTGGCTATGCAAAAAACGGGGCCAAACTAGCAGCTTTTGTTGCGTGAGCTGCTGCCCGATTACGTGGTAGGATAAACAGAGACGTGAAATGTCTTGGACCTTCCTTGTCCCTTGCTATGGACCTCCTAGGAGGAATGTAACCCTTTGACTGTATCCCCAAACGTCCACAGATCATTCTGCACTTTCTCGGGAACATGAAGGTACAAGGACTGGGATTCTGAGGACGCCAATCCCTGCCGGATATGCACTGGGCCGCCTTTCACCTGTCCAGTGGCACACAGTTGGGTTGTAATGTGACGGGAAGGACAGATGGCGGGCACCATAGCACTCCGAAGGACCGAGGGGCCTCGGTTCTCCTTCCTACCTTTCCCCTCTACGTTCCCCTCATGAGTGGGTTCTGACATTGGTAGTGGGTCCCTCAAACACTTGGTTCCTCTGGGTACAAAAGAGAGAACAATTGGCAGTGCTTGTCAGTGAGAACTGAGTGGAACAAAGCGCTTCTTACCGGCCATTTCTCCTTCATGTCTTATGGCTGTTGGGGATGGAAAGAACAAATCAAACAATAGCAAAAAAAAGGTAAAGGTGGGTGAAAGAGAGCCATGCTCAACTAGAACCAAAGTCTGAATGAATCAAAAAAATGTCAAAATTAGGGACTGGGATGTAGCTCAGTGGTAGAGGCCCTAGGTTCAATCCCTCGTACTACAATATATAAGTAGTCAAAGTTAAGGCTAGGGCTCCTGTTGAATATGTGGCTTTTGGCTGGAAGAACCTCATGACTCGTGCTTTTCTCAGAAGAAAGACATCAATTTCTTATCACAGCCCAAAGTCCCGCAGACATGTAGGCTGTGTGTGCAATGTCTCACTGACTTCAGCCAGGGATGTAAGTCACTGGCCTTGGCTTCCTCCAATGACCACTTCTTTCTCTTTTTTCCCTAATAGCTTGAATAACAATGGAACCTTCCCATTGTTACTGCTTCCAACTTCTTTCCTGCAGAGTTGAGCTGGGGAGGAAGGGACAGGGGAAGATGAGAGTCACTCAAAGGAAACCCCTTTGCTGGTGTGGCAAGCTGTTTCCGGCATCACTGGAACAATGTTGGTTCCCACAAGGAGTCAGAGACTCTTGGTGAACATTCTTCACCTTATGTTCTAAAAGCTTTGAAGTCCTCACGGCCATTGTTAGGGAGGCAGACCTCACCTGATCTCACTGTCTCTTACAGCCTCATGGCCACTCTGTGAGAGGTTTCCACACTAACTCCGTTAACTCTGAGGACACAAAATGTCTTGGTGCTGGGGAGAGGAGCAGACTGAGGGAATGGATGGAACAAAGATCCCTGTGGAAGGGACTCGGTTGCTCCCCTCACCTCTGTAGAGCCTTGGAACTCTCAATAAACACAAAGCCATATTGGATGGGGTGAGGTTGTCTGGATAGAATGACCTCCACCTCACCATTGGTTTTGATAGGACTCTAACACTGGGTTTAGCAAAAGCCATGGCTCAGTTGGTCACAGTATAACAGTGAAAAACAAACCCCCTCATATTTAGTACACGTTACAGCAAAGAGAAGGGGCAGGAGTTGGGTGAAATGGTATGTGTTGGTTGGACAAGATATATGACAGAACATTCTTGGTTCAGGTAGGCACCAGGTATGGTCTAGCATGGGATGAGAGACACTTCTGTCTGTGGGATACTGCATATATTGCCTAGTGTAGAGAGGCCCTCAACATGGTGAGGGTGAAGAGGCAGAAGGAGCTTAATGCATCTGTATCAGGAGCTTGCAGTGTAAAGATCACACCAAATTCCATCCAATAAAATCTCAAAGCCTATCAAATGTCTGTACTTATCTTCAAGCAACTACAAAGGATCCTGCACTGGGGTGGAGTAGGGGGCTTAAAAGAAAGGATAACGGTGTATTGTACAATGATGTTTGGTTTCCAATCTAGCTTTCAAGGGACTTGCAAGTTGGAAGAGAATGGAACAAGGTGCTCTGTGGCTATAAAAACTCCTTATCACCGAGAAAGGATGGACTCCAAATCCCACCTTGAAAACAGAGAGGTCTTGGAGATTTTGCAGGCAGCAGAATGTTTCTTGGTGAAGCTAGGAATGGTCTGGACCTTAGGATGATTACAAACAGTCCAGGACTCAGGCTCTCTGCATTCCACTGTAGCCAGTTATTGGAGCAGTAATCCTGGAAAACACTCCCTGAGCTCCTTTCTGTGTTTGGAGAGAGGAGCCCTTTGAACTCACATCCCCTCCCCTTGTGGGCTTTGTTTTTAGCATCCAGATGGTCAGGGAATGGGGCTGGAGAGTCTCTGGTCTGTGGCTTCCTGAGTAGGAAGTGGCAGATGGGAAGACATTATGATACAATGGCTCCTTGGAGGAGCTACCTTGATGCGAGATGTCCGGCTGCCCATGGTGCCTGGATGACTAACTCAGGCACAGGTTCATTAACAGGAGGGATGGAGGGAATAAAATTATTCAGAGATTTCGGGGCCTTCATGTGGCTTACCATGATGAATATAGTCAGGAGGAAGATGCTCACGGCCATGATGGAGAAGCTATCTAGGAACCAGGTGCACCAGATCACTGCGTTAGAGACGCCATGATTTTTCAAGGTCTCCTTCAGCCTTAACTCCTTTTCCAAGACAATGCCCTTCACGATCATGGAGACAGAGTAGATCCATGCCAGCACCATGAAGATAGGGAAACAGCGGTTCAGGATGATCATGAAACTAAAGCAAGAGGAGAGAAGTAGAATAGCAGAGTGCTCTGTAGCTGGCAGAGACAGAGGAAATGACATTGGATGTGTTGAGGACAAAGCAGAACTCCCCCCCCCGCCTCGCCCTGGACATTCAATGGGCTGGAATCTTTTAATACATTCCACATTTGCCCCAAAGAATTGCTTTTTCTTTAGATCAAGATAATGACTTTCTGGTTAGCCCAGATGAATGCTCTATAAGTAAAATGTGCAAATAAGATAAAAATGTCAGCCAGTATAGACTTTCCTTTTAAGGACTTGTGAAAGACTTGATGGTGTAGGCTAGGAATGGGATAGATGGGGACGTACTCACTAGCACTGAAGCCCAGGAGGGTGGAGAACAAACAAGGGGAACTAGTTTTTGTGGTGAGATCAATAATGGGGCTCCCCACTGGGTCAACCAGCCTAACACTGACTCTATCCCAGGAAGTTACACAGGAAAAGACACAAAATAACTAATCAGTGTGGCACTTTCAGAAGACAACTGATCAATCAATAAATCAGTGATTCAATAGCCTCTGATACCACCAACCATGCTTAAGTGGACTAGATTCCTGGATATATACTACAGCAAGCAGAATAGATTTGATAAACCGAATTACTTCTTCTTCACACATGTTTTTCCTGTATGCGATGTACTACTAAAGTCTTTGGGATTATTATGTATTGAAACTATTGGGTGTTGTCACAGGAAGGGTCCAGTTCCAGCTTGGAAGGGTTTCATTCAAAATGGCCCTAGGGAGAGAACTGTGTATTTATAAAACGTTCAGTCCAGGGATTGGCCACCAGAGGGCTCTCCCACACTGGATGACTCCCCACACCCACCAGCTCCCTCCCATTCTGATCCTAAAAGTGGACCTGGGCTTTTGCCCTTGGCTCTACTTCCAGTTCTGCCTCAACCGGAAACAGCCACTGTTATCTTTATTCTTCCATAGAGCTGAGGCTGGAGAACTGGTTGGGCTAGTGTGTAGAGAGGGGGTTTCCTGTATCCATAGTGGGCTTTATTTTACAGCCTTTCCAGCTGGCAATTTGACTCTTCCTTTCTTTAGACTGCGTGGTTCTCTCTTTCCTGACACCTCCCCCCATACACTATGGTGACTGTCCCAGTCCCCCTACCACCTACTATAGGTGTCTACTGCTATGCTGGGAGATTTCAGACCCCATCTGCCGTGGTAAATGAGCCTTCCCAGCACCGATCCCTCTCTGGCCTCTCTCTATGACCCCCTAACTCTATTTTCAGCAAATTAGTAGGTTACTTGCTTAGCATACTACTAGCTAACAGATGGACAGGCCCAGGGATGGGGGTGGTCGGGGAAGGAGGCAGGAGCTCATCCAACACATTCTTTACCTTTTCATCAAGCACACATCATGGGGATGGTAATTAGAGAAGGGACTGCATTATCCCCAGGCTCCTAGGAACCAGATCTGCTTGCCATGCAGCCTGAATCTGCTGATTTGGCAATCACTGGGCAAACGCTGACCAGAACCTTTCCACATACCTAACATACTATGTCGTGGGGAATTTAGACAGCCTTGTCCCCTCCCCCAAGCTCACTTCCATTGCTTTAATTCCATCCTCCCCTCTGCATGTCCAACACCAGCTCTTTCCCCTGTCCCCTCCTCCCCTTCACGTTCTCCTCTGTCCTGCCTGAAGCTCAGGCCATGGAGACCCTTCAATCAGAGCGCCAGTCTCCTCCACCTGGCCCCAGTCTCTAGGGGTCTTTCTGGAGATATGGAAACCTTGGGAGCATCCCACCCCGGTGCCCTACAGCTTGTCAGGGGGGAGGATGGGGGCTCACGAGTCATCCACGAAGCAGGGGTAGGGCATCTGCTGGAGGTAGACTCCAACCGGAGTTTTTGCCTGGGCCTGACTCCTCGTGATGCCCAGCTCGACCATGTCCTGCAGATAGGCAAAGCCTCCCCAGATGTACCGGAGGTCTTCCACGGGGTCTGCCCTGGGACCAGAATCCCAGTATCTGCAAAGACACAGGAGGGGGGACAAAGGATGTGAGTGGGAGTGGGGTGGCTCACCCACTCCACAGCTCAAGGTCACATGCTCTTGACATGGTTCTTCCAAACACTGCAGAGTTATCCAATGCTATACGTTAGGTGACAGTGTAACTCACGGCGATATCTGTGAGCTACAATGTGACGCTGTTTAGGTGCTTTCGTGAAGGACTCTTGTTGGGTTGTACACAATGCCTTATTTCCTTTCGGTTAGCCTAACTTTTGCTGACTCAGAGGTGGATTCCAGCCTCAGTCCCCTTCTCCACAGCAAATGTGATTCATGTCACCTGTCCTTGATCTTATTGGTTTTCTCCACCACGTCTATGTCCATCCGGATCTTGTACTTCACGTGGCGTGGTAGGGCGCTGGTCCAGGGATACATGTCGGGAAACACCACACCGGCCCAGAACCTGTTTTCCTCCAGCAGAGACAGAGCTCGTTGGGTGAGTTGCTCTTCGTCATCATAGCTCTCGAACTTGTCCAGGACCAGGCACTGCAGATTCAGCACAAAGGAGGAGAGAGTTGAAGAGTGGTGCCCATACAGACTCTCTGGGCACAAAAAGGCCAGCCAGGGGATTGGCTGTCCCCTAGGCAATACACTTAGGAACCTGTGTTCTTTCACTCTGGGGTCTGGTGTTAATTGCACCATGTGTCTAGGTGTGGGGGTGCCAGGGACTTGGAAAAGCTGGCGTGCCCTTCTCCCTGCTGAGCTAGTCAGGACTGCTGTCCTGCTGCCCAAGGCTGTCCAAGTATGCAAGTCCTCAGAATGACAAAAGTACTCCCCAGCATGAGGAGGCATGGTGCACACCGGCCACTTTGATGATCAGGAAGCCTGGCCATGAACGAGTTTTAAAGAGAGAGAGAGAGAGAGAGACGTTCCTAGCACAGAGCCTTCCTGGCTCTCCCTCCGAACGCACAGGCTGGCCAGGCTGAGAGAGAAGAGATTTCCAGTTTCATGACAAGAAATGCCAGTGGGGGAGGAATTTCTCTCCTATGTCTCTCTTCTCCTGATGACCTATGACAGGGCAAAACTAAGAATTTCTTCTACTTCAAATGCTACAGGATGCCCGCGTGTGCAGACTTGCCACGGCCTGTATTTTCCAGGCATCGGTTCCCACTCTACACAGGAACCCACGCTCCATTCTGAGAACGTAACTTGCAAGAGGTCAGATGACCTTGTCTTGATTAATTTGTTCCGTGAATACTTAGTGATTCCTGAAAACATGTAATATGCCAGAGCCTGCCTAGTCCCAGGGATATAAGGAGGAAAGATACAATCTCTTCTTGCAAGGGGATACGTTTGGCTAGGGAAGAATGATCAGGGTCTGATGAAGGGAGCCTAGCAGACTCGGGGATCCAGAGAAGGAGTCAGGGAAGGCTGCCTGGAAGAAGACAGAGCAGGAATTAGATAAAGGGAGGGAAAGGTGGAAGGGTCAGCTTAGCACAGGGACTTAGACCACAGAGGGGCTTTAAAAAGACTCCTGTATCAGGCCCCATCCCAGGCAATCAAATCACAATCTACAGAGCAGGGCCGGAATGTGCATTTTGTACAAAGCTCCCCAGGTCATTGTAAGGCACAGAGAAAGGCAAAGGGCAGACCCAGGTAAGTGGCAGGAACTAGATCAGTGCCCTGCAGCCTGGGTGCTATGACCAATCAACTTAGGGATCTCCCAGGACACAACCAGGAGTGCTCTGGGCAAAGACTAAAAAGCCACAGGGAGCCATGGTAAAATCTTCAGCAGAGGAGTGACTATGTCACTCTGATCTATATGATCAGATAGGATCTGAAAATGATACTGAGTACTAAAGAAAAATGAAACTGTCATTTGCAGAAAAGTGGATGGGACTGGGGGTCACCATGCTGAGTGAGATAAGTCGAGCTGAAAAGGCCAGTGTCACATGTTCTCGCTCATGTGTGGAACCTAGACTTGAAATGGTGGCGGTGGTGGTGGGACACGGATGCAAATGGGGAACTCTGTGCAGGTTGGGGGGGCAAGAGGGAGAAAGGAAAGGACACTGAGAGGTGACGAGGATGGAAGTAGGCTACTTTTATACTTACCAAGGCAGCACAATGAAACGCACAAACGCTGTTTGAAAGGGGCGGAAGAGGGAGTGAACTTGTCCAAGACATGGTGCAGGCATGTCTAGAATTATCACAATGAAATTCACTCGTATTATTGATGTATGCCAATTCAAAAACAAGACAAAAAATTATAAAAAGTGATCGCTGATAGGGAGCGAGGAGGGAAGTGGGAAGACTCAGTGAGAAGGCTGTTGACGGGGTACAGGCTTCAAGAACTAATTCGTCCCCACGGTGGGCCTGGGAGTCAGCCGGAACCTCATTTTGCTGGGGTGGAGACCTGTGTGAGTCCTGCAGACAGCAAGTGCCAGGCCTGGGATCCCTCCCACCTCCCTGCTCCAGCCCACGGCTCCTCCTGGCACCTCGGGGGCCACAGGAAGAGACAGTCCCTGGGCTCATGAGTCCTTCAGTGCCCTCCGCCAGCAAACCACTGTCTCACACGATAGGCAGAACACTGGTGATGGTTTGTCACGCCCGGGTGGCCCAGAAAATTTAGGCTTTAAGAACTCCCCTGTCACTTCTTTAAGAGGTGGAGCAAGTATCAAACCCCATTCATTCGATTCCACAGCTCTTATCAGGAGAAAGGAAGAATCCAGAACACAGACAATTGTCAGGATGGGACCAGAGAAGCAAGCTCCTGCTCGTGAGGAGAAGCAGGCAAAGCCAGCTCATTCACCACAACCCTCACTTCCAAGTCCTGCCCTGCATCCTCAGTGCCCCAAGGGGCTGAACTGAACCCCAAGGGGATGCAAATCCACCCTCCCTGGGTCACTTAAACTGAACGCTTGTCTCAGGCTCCACTGTCTGGGGACAGGTCTCAGGTCTCAGGTGAAACACAGAATACAAAGGGAACTGTTTTCCCTGATGGGCAGGAGAGCATCACCAGAACCAAGGCTGAGAAAGTAATAATTCAAGAAGAAATGGAGTTGGTGTTTCTTTTAAAAATACCAATAAGGGTAGCCACACCTCACGGGGCTAAAGTAAAGAGAGGTTTTTCTTTAGTCAGCAATGGTCTTGCAAACAGGCATTTGTTACCCAGCCTGACACTGGTCTGACTTAAACCAGAAGGAAGGCGTCTGCACAGCAAAGGTTCTCAGCCAATATCCATTGCTTCTGGGCAAAAGCAATGCAACACCTACAGTTTTGTCTGTGTGTGGGGTGGGGGTTGTCTAATCTATAGACTGTTAAAACAGTTGGAGGCACGGCCTGCGTCCAGTTTGTCAACACTGAACCCAATATTCTGCAGAACAAGAAGTCTTCAGAACTGACCTGCTAAAGCCTGGTAAGGAAATACTCATTCAAGTTTGCTTTAGAGGGACCTCAACATTCTGCAAAGATGAGCAATAAAACAATGTCGTTTTATCTGTTCCTGAAGATCAAGACCACAGAGATACTTAAGTGAAGTAAACTCAACCCTGAAAGACAAACGCCATGTCTTTTCACTCATTGGGTCAATTGTGTGAAGATACTTGCATTGAATTACCACAACACACCCTCATAAAGATATGTGAATATCATCCTCAATAAAAATATGTGCATGTACAAAGTGTTGGAAATTAGAGTCAACCTGAAATTAAATTTCTACAATGAATAACAAAATTATTTTGGAAGACGAAAGTTGTCCTAAGCAGTTCACATTGTGACATACACATAGGAGGCTCTACCAAGTCCCTCAGCATCACAAGACATTTGGATGGACAGAGTCTTAGAGGTCACCTGTTCTGATGTCCTTGCTTTACTGGTGAAGACACTGGGAGCAGAGGGCCCTGCCCAAGGTCAACAGAAATCCTTTGAGAGTAAGCCACAGTCCAATCACAAAGTCAGGACACAGCATCCTGAAGATTTCTTATCTTAGTCCAGCCCTGCAAGGATTGAACGGTTGTGTGTCTGTCCTGTCCAGTATGGTAGCCAGTAACCACATGGGGCTATTGGGTACTTGCAAGGTGGCCAATGTATCTGAAGCAATGTATTTTAATTTTAATTAGTTTAAATTTAAATCACTATCTGGGCTTCTGGTCAGCTCATTTCTAGAGCTAGTCAGTTCCTTGAGGTCAGAGCCATGTTTTGCTTGCCGCGGTCACTGGAGTAACAGTGTTTCCTCGTGATAGTGATTCTTGAAGTGTTTTCTGAATAGAATTGATTTAAGCTTAGAAGCCCTGAATGATGCAAGAAGTGCAGCTGTATGTTGTGTTTTGAACATCCCAGAGTTACATGATAAGCTAGCAGAAATTAGCAAACTAAATTTTTGCTGTGATGCTAATGAGAATATAACTCTTGACATAAAGAAATGAATATAAACAAATGCATTCAATAATGTGACTTCCAGAGCCGCCCAGGCTGGTCATTTTGAACTCTCATGTTTTAGGGGAAGTCTATACTGGAGAAAGTGGCTGCAGTGACATGGTTGACTCTTGGTGACATAGGTGCCATCCTGGGTGGTTTAGCAGATAGTGGATTCATACTCATATTTCTTGGTATGTTGGCCAAGATGGGATCCCGATCCTCTCTGGAAAACATAAAACTTCTTTCATTTCTACTCTGAAACACCTGACCCCTTTTTCCTCCCTCACCTTGGGAAGTGGCGTGGCACAGTGTTTAAGAGTGGGACAGACCTGAGTCCCACACCCTTGTGCTGGTTCCTAGCTGTGTTCTCTAGTGATAACAATGAGAGGTGCCTGACCTCAGAGGCTTGTTCCAAGGATCGGATCAGACAGCGTTTATAAAACACAGGGCTGGACAAGTGCTTCACTGTTAGAATAAAGAGCAAATGCTGGGCGGTGGCTGAATGCTCGCCCAGCCTGTGCAAGACCTTGGATTTCATCTCTAAAACAAAAAACTGACCCGGAGCTCACTGGAGGTGTGCACTGTAGTCCAAGCTGGTCCAAGGACTTTGCTCGTTTTAACCCACTTCATTCTCTCAAGGATGTCATTGTGAGGAGCTACAGTGGCCACTCTAAGTCCATTCATGAGACACATTAGGTAAACTTCCTGTGAGAAAAGTCTGCATTCAACCACAGTCCTAATAAACACCATTCCTATTGCTGTTTTGATAAACTATCGTGAACATCAACAGAGCCGAGTGACTTTTAAGTCCCTGCCAGGTTACTTTTCCCTCATGACTGCTGTTCATCAGGGGAGGAAGACAGTCATTATTTTCTTTAAATAATCTGGGAACACAACGCAGTGAGCTGCTCCCTGCCACTTCATCTGGGTAGAACGATGCTATGGATAGGAGTCAAAGCTTGTGTCCGACCTGGATAACGGGAGTAGGGGTGGTGACTCCTACCCCACTAGGGTATTAGCTGCTCGTGGACATTAGGTGAAAGTCTGACAACTCTGTCCAGATGAAGGTATTTTAAAACCAATCTGGAATGTCACCCCCACCAAGGCCCTAGAGGTCAAGGCAGAGCCAT